GTGATGATTTACGTTTAATTTTGCACAGCATTGTGGGTGGTAAAATACAATTAATTTCCTGAAAGCACGCATCCGATCCATACTGCATGAAACCCGGAAGTTAGTATCCATGCTGAAATGTTCAGTATACTGAGGTGGACCCAAAAAATGCATACTGAATGACCACGAAAGTTCAGTATACTGAAACTCCATACTGAATAGTACGTACTGCCTACTGAACTGTGGCTATTCGGAAAGGAATGAATCAGATAAAGTAGAATAGAAAATAATTACTTTATTGATCCCAAACTAGGAAATTGTGGAAAGTAGGAACAAATATCTGGCTGTATCCGAATTGCCAAGTACCTACTCAATCTGTCAGTAGTCAGTACCTACTATCCGTGCTGTATACTGTTTAGTATCTACTATTCAGTCGGCGCGCACAGTAGGCAGATATTTGTTCCTACTTCATCTGATTCATTCAGTAAGGAAGTGACATATCCCCGGAACTAAGGCATATTTTGATGAAAAAATGTTGAACTGCATCCTTACATCCTAACTCACATTTCAGTTGACAGCATGTTGGACACAATTTTTGATGAAAAAATGTTGCCTTGTGTCCATCCTCGTTTTTTATTGTATGCATTTTAATTGCTTTTTCTTTTTGGATTCTAATTAAAAAGGTGAAATTAGCTCAGCTGGGGTGTTTGAACCATTTATTAAAATATTGATTTGCAAGAGGACCCACACTACCATATAGTAAAATAGGATTAAAGATTTTTAAATTATGAGCCAGATTCTGATGGGTTAGCCCAGGGGTGGGCAACTGGCGGCCCGGGGGCCACATGCGGCCCCCATCAACCCTCAATGTGGCCCTCAGGTCAATTTTTACATATCAATGAATTGGAAACATGAAGAAAATGTGACAAAATCTGCCGTGAAATCATAAAAACAGAAATACGTCCATAATAATATTGATCACTGGCATATGTTGAGTTAAATTTGAGACATAATTGATTTGTTTTTATAATTGATTCATCATTGATGAATTTTGTATACTACAATTTGGCCCTTTGGCATCGAGAATTAATTGAATGCGGCCCTTGCCGTGACCAAAGTTGCCCATCCCTGGGTTAGCCTGATAAACATGTTTGCATTTTTCATAATGGAATAAAAAGCCCTTCTTCCCTTCTCTCTGAGCTCATTCACAACCAGATTAAAATTGTATTCAATTGCCCGCCAGCTCACTTGACAGTAGTGTTATGTTTTGTAGTGTTTTAGTGTTATGTAGTGTAAACCACGAGTAAAGCAGATGTTTGTCCTGCACTGGTTGATGTAACATGCGAGTAATAGAATTAACAAAGCCCCGCCCCCTGCCAGTGACGTATGGGGCTGTGTTTTTGACTTTAAGCTGCTCTCCTCTTCTAAACTGCGCCATTCACCCTCTCTCTCTCTGTGAACATGGCGGGCACCGTTGCGAACAAGTGTCTGAGTCCTCTGGGTTTTCTCACCAGGAGGCTCTCTGCTCCGGAGTTCATCACTCAGTGTTGCTACCACAAGAAGGTAAAACAAATAGTCTTCTAATACCTAGTCGGAAGTGTCTTAGCGAGCTTTCTGTTTACAAATACCAGGAGCATAAGTTGGTCATGTGTTACGCATTGTATAATTCAAAGCATCATAGTACGGTGCAGGTTATTGCATGGTTTTAATGAACCACGTAGGTAGACACTGTTAATCAGAAGAGGTGAGTTTGTTTAGGTTGCACTTACATTTGTCAGCGTGTTTTTGGGTTTCCTTAAACATTTAGTTTAAAGTGACAATATGGATTTCATAACATTATGTAATTGTTTCAATGCTTGCCATGCCAGCCCAAATTAAAGTCTAAATTGGCGTCACTAATCCGTCCTCTACTTAGCTACTGCAACATCTTAGATACTTGAGTCACATCCTGTTGATAAGCTTTAAGGGTTTCAGTATTGTGTAAAACAACAAATGTACATTTTCTGTGATACCTGTAGATTCAGTGTATCTCTCAATAGGGTAAGCATCATGTTTCAGCTATAACAATTTAATAAGATTTCAGATGCCTGGTTTGAATTTATGTGATGTAACATTAATATAGGGCTGTGTGACAATCAGAATCAATGATACAATCAATCACAAAGTTAATTTACACTGGCAAACAGATGATTGTTTAATGTTTGAATGGTGTAAAGTGAATATAGCTTTGTCTAAGGGCTGTTTTCCTGTGTGGCTTTGACGCACTTAAAATGGACTGTCTTTACATCTGACATCCCATTTGGGAAAACAATTCTGTATGTTATACTGTGCTTAATGTTGAAAGTAAATGTTTCTTTAAAAGCTTGCTGAGCAAATTGTGACTTATTTAAACTTATTGTTCTTAACCATCAACTGAGTTTTAAAAGCTTAAAGGTTATAAATTAAGAGATGACTTAATTTTGAGCAGAAAACCTACAACAAACATAATCTAATTCAATAACACGATTATGTGTCAAGAATATAGTACTTTTTTATGAGGATATGCATGAGGATACAAGCTCCCTTCATAATGGTTGGTCAGAGTGACTCAGCAAAAGCGCAGGGGAAGGGGGAGATCCGGTACTCAATGTCGCTGACAATGAAATCCACTGCTTATCTGTTTATTTCTGCGTCTTATGTAATGATGCAAACTTGTCTATGTAAACGGTGATGCCGAATCTTCTACACATTCTTTGTCTGGTTGTAAAAAAATGCAGAAATATTCTGAGGATGTCACTCGTATTTTTCTTAATCACGTGTTATCCATTATTGTGAAGTACCCTCAAAAATTTGCAGACTGCCATTGTGACACATTTTGGTTTTTTTTCCTGACACAATGCTTCCTTTCTTTCTCCCTGTAGGTGGTGGATCATTATGAAAACCCAAGAAATGTGGGATCATTGGACAAACATTCCAAAAATGTAGGGACCGGTTTGGTGGGTGCTCCAGCCTGTGGAGACGTGATGAAGCTCCAGGTATGGATGAAGCACCGACCTAAGACTTCATCAAAAATGGAAGATCCATATATAGGGCACTGAGACGTCATGTTCTTGTTTTACCAGTAGATGGCGCCTGGACTTAAATTATTAATTTTATGGATATAAAAAAGCATTTCCTGTGATGTTTTTTTTTCATGGAAAACACAGCTTTCTTTTTATTTAAAAAACAATAATAAGTCATTTTAATCGGATGGTTAAAAACAACAGGCTTACTTTTGTTTAGTTTTTAAGATTTTAATATTTATCACAGTCTTTCAAAAGACTTTAAGGGTATTTTCTCACTTTGCTGTTAAATAATCCTTAAAAAACTAATTTTTCTGACAGATTGAGGTCGACGAGCAGGGGAAGATTGTGAATGCTCGGTTCAAAACTTTTGGCTGTGGTTCTGCTATCGCCTCAAGCTCTTTGGTCACCGAATGGGTGAAGGGCAAATCTGTAAGTAAACACATTCTGGACATTTCTTCTCATATTATTCATTTTTCTGTCTGTGACTTATCATCATGTGAAATAGATTTTGAGCTATGTGTTTTTCTTCACAGGTGGACGAAGCCTTGATGATAAGGAACACTGACATTGCCAAAGAGCTCAGTCTTCCACCTGTCAAACTTCACTGCTCCAGTAAGTTTTTAGTGATTCATTCTCATTTTGTTCCTCGATTATAATGTGCATCTATGAATTAAACCTCAATTTCTTTCCCTTCAGTGCTTGCAGAGGATGCAATTAAGGCTGCCCTGGCTGACTATCGCCTCAAGCAACAGGATGACCAGCAGGAGGCAGCCAGGGCCAACATTTAAGCAAAGCAATGACGCACTAAGCTGGGCGACACTGCTTTCTTCCTGCTGCCGAGAAGAGAAGTATCAGTAGTGCAGCATCACAACCTTGATTTCCTGCTGTGTTGAAGAGTCAACCCTAGTATATGACTCCACCACCCTGTGCAGCAGTGCTACACCAGGCTTCCTGTGTTAGTCTGTGATGATCTAACCCTAACTGTTACTGTCAGCCTGTCACGTGAACGCACAACACAAAGACTGATTAGTACAAAGATCAGCCTTGTTTTTTGAGATTCTGTTTTAATTAGAGATGTGATGCTTGAGGAGGAGTGTTGATGGTGTGATGAAGTCACTGCTTAAGAATAACAACATTCCCACCATTACCTCCCACTATATCTGCACCCCTTGCACTGACGTTTTGATATGCAACTAAGCGAAGTGGCTTGAAACAATGAAAGGGTCCATGTGTAATTATTTAGTAATGCTCCTTTGACAGTCTGCAATAAATTATCCTTAAATATATTTTTTTGTGTCTATTGTATTACTTTGAGCCGTCTGAATATTAGACCTTTTATATCATTCAAAGTAGAGGTGCTACAAATTCTATGAAGTGTCCACACAGTTATCTACAAACGCACTCATGGCTGTGGACTTGCATGTAACTTGTCTAAACTAAATATAGTCATTATAAAGCTCTTATAAAACAGTTCCAATCAAGCAATTTGATTGGACAATAGGCATTCTAGTAGTGCTGACATAGAGTACAACAGCACTTAAACTTTTAACCTTGAGTATCACTCTGCTTAATGTTTTCTCAACTCTAAATTATCAACTGTTATTAGAGGTGTTGTCTACATTCACACTGCCTGCAGCCTTGTGTCTGACTGGATCACAGTTGTAAAAAAAAATAAGTCTAAGACGAGGCACTCTGTTGTGCTGGTACTCAGTGTATCAGCAATCTCTCATGTTATATTTCATAATAAAACTCACCTGTTTTTCCTGCTATAACTTTAAATACCTACAATGTAAAAATATATTTAATTAAATGTGCAGGGCTTGCATGCCAACCAAAACTTTTTATACACAAAAAACGGTGTTGCATATGAATTCTTGTGTATATGAAGTCCCTTGTGTGCGAAGTAGTTTACCATGGTGTGGAATGTTAAAGGAATTCAATACAACAACAAAAAGATTTGTTAGGACAACACAGGTCTGCTATAAACACAACCATGTTTTATATCTGATGTGACTGGCATCACCCCATTGCACATGTGTATGACAAACAATTAATAATAATATACAGTATATCCAGTCTGAGCATTGCTAACATGCCGCTGAATTCCATCCTCCGTAAGTGAATACAAACATGATATAATGCGAAAAAAAGCATCTTTATGAATTGAATTAAGCAACTTTTATGGATTACTTCAAAGTCTTTTTTTGACAATTTCCATTCATGGATTCTTAGTGTCAAAAATGTATTCCCAGGTAAAAGTGTTCATCATACTTAGAAGGCTGTTTTCTCTCCTGCGATGAGCTGGAGTGTAGCTGAGTCATTGTGAATGTGCATAGAGGGGGGTCGCAGACTCCTACCCATCAGAGGCTCCTGTGAATCATCTCCTGGCTGCCCAGGAAGGTTCAGCTCTGTGCTTCCCACTGCTAATGCTTCTTCTTCACTCTCTGGAAGTTCATATGGATGCTTTTCCTCAGGAAGACTGGCTAGCTGTTGGTCCAGGATGCTGTCTTCTAGTTTGGAGCCGTTCTCAGGACTGTGGTCTGCGTTCTTCTGGCTGAGGTCACTTCCCTCTGCAGCTGCAGTCGATTTATTTTGTGTGCGCAGGCCCTTTGCAGCCCTCATGATGTCTGCCTGGAGCTGCTTGTGGGAGTCCACTGGCTCACCTTCCTGCTTAAGAACAGCTTTCTCTGGTACTTCATTAAAGAGTTTAGCACCTCCAGTTTTGTCCTTGTGGTCCACATACATTTTTGAGGGGAAGGAGGAAGGGTAGTAGGCATTGACTTTGCGCCTGCGGCTCATGAAAATTGCTCCACAGATGATGAAAAGGAAGAGGAGGATGAAAGAGCATGCAACAAGGATAAGGAGCATGTTCTCCTCCAGAAAGCTCCTAACTTGATTAAGAAACTCAGTTTCCACATGTGTGGGGCCAGCAGGTGTGGTTTGGTACTCTGAGGAACTGTTGCTGGTGGGGAGAAAGGAAGTGGAGTTAGTGAGCTCTTCCTCGTCTGTACTTCCCTCTAGCAGACTGTAAAAAGGTAGAGGTGTGGCCCAGCTGCAGCTGAGGCGAAACAGCAAACACAGAGCAGTCCGATGAAGGGCCATCAGGAGCATCATTATCCTTCAGGATCTGTAAATAACAAATAAACATAAACTTCAGTGCCATGTGTGAAAAAATGTTTGTACCTTAAATGTATTACCCAGATAATTGTATAATTAACACTTTATGCTGCCCTGAGACTACACATTCTCACCTCCCTAGATCAGGATAGACAATATTCTGTCTGCCGAAGATGTTACACATCAAGGATACGTTTGTGTTTATTGTAAAATTCAATTTAAAACAATATTATTACTGGGTTTCATGTCTAATATTTGTCTGAAAACATTTATATTGTCCCTTTTTAAAAAATAAAATATTACCATTAATCTAATATATTAGCATCCGGAATCAAGGTTTATGAATCATGTTGTCTCGCTGACAGAGAGACAGAATATGTTATTAAACATCCCAGCTCTGTTACTTAAGTTTTTAATTTGTACTGGTAAAGAATCATGAGACAGTACATTTCTATCTCATATAATGTTAATAAAAATGGAATATGACTTACCTAGAGTACACGTATATTCAATCATTCATCAGTTACATTACTTGCCACAAATGTCTTGAATTCATTGCAGCTCAACTTGGACTGTGAACTAATGTGTGATTTGCAGAAACTCATGGAGCAAAAAAGTAAAAGCATATAAAGGATCCTGCCCATCTGAGCCATGCAGAAAAAAGTTTCTGCGTGGCTAGATACCACCTTTTCCTATGTCAGTGAAATGACCTTCTAAACTTTTACCAGTCACAATCATCCCTCGGCTAAGTCAGTGTGTAAACTGGCAGCAGCTCACACACTCTCATCTTTATTCTGTCTCCATCTGTGTACAAGCTGGGCCACATGAAACTTTGCTCTCATCTGGAAAAAGAGAAGGGGTGGGAGGTGTGTTTTTGTTCTTTAAAATTAATCACACACTCACCCCAGACCAAATAAGCATGGCCACACATCTGTGCCGACGCATAAACATATGTGTATAAGGCAGCCATATGCACACTAACACACACAAAGACACATTTGGAACATCTAAACCTAGCAGATTTTTTTAATGGCAAAAACAGAAAAAAGGGCCATGATGTAGATTCTGTCTCCACTTTAATGCTGAACCTTTATTCACGCTAACTGTACTAGTCACGCCCTGACTTTCTGTGGATGGGTGTTGAGATGAAAGTATCATGCTATAGAAAACATCTCAAACTTTAGACTTACATGAGAGCTTAAAATGACCACACAAAAAAACTCAAACTGGAAAAAAGACATAGAAAAAGAGTGAAATCATTTTACTCACCATGAAATGTGGCAGAAGTGTCTCTATTGGAAACCCCCCTGATGGAGGATGACTGCAACCAAGATAGAAAAGTGAGCTGATTGAGTTTAAGAGAGAGCACAGCAAAGAGTGGCAAACTCTGTGTGAGCTACGCCACTTCTGCAGTTTCAGGTTTCAGGCTGCAGATTTGTCTGGATAGCCGAAAAAAAAAAAAAAAAAAAAAAAGATGTCGTGAACCAGGAGGAGAGGACAAATCCCTCCTTCTCCCTCTCCTCTGTTCTCCTCCCCCCTTCCCCAAGTGTGTCTGAGCGCTCCGTCCTGCACACAGATTGTTCTTGTTAGGTAGGAGTTTATGATGTGCAGTGGGGGCAGGGATACAGGGACCTCTCCCCAACTCTCCTGTATGGTTTACTGGACTTGCAGAAGACAGAATTAACTTCAAAAAGATGATGATTCAGCCTTCAGATTTCATCATCAACTCTTATTTCCCCATCTTTCTGCAGATAAAGTCTCTGATTGCTAGCCTGGCCTCCCCTCTGACCTCATCCTGTGACTCTAATGACTAACAGCAGCCCTGCTAGGCCAAAAGGAGTCGGAGAGCAGCGTGTAAGAGTGACCTGCTAATGCAGGAAGAGGTTAATGTTCCTGTGTGGCCAGAACAACCATAACACCCAGAAGGAAGACCGGGAAAGAGAGGGGCACACGCTTAGAAACAATGTGGTGTTTTTCCTCCTAGAGACAATTCATCTCACATGGCCAGTGTGTGTGAGTGTGTGTGTGTGTGTGTGTGTGTGTGTGTGTGTGTGTGTGTGTGTGTGTGTGTGAGACTACTTTAGGGAAAGAGAGTGTCTGAGTATTTATGCATATTTGCCGTGTCTTCTGTGTTATCAGTCAAGGCAAGTCAAGCTTTATATGGTCATCAGGAGGATGAGATGAAGTCCTGCATCCTCCTGGTTTACATTATTCTCAGCTCTGTTGATAGTCACAAGTGTCTGCTGTTGTTTCAGTTACTCAATATGAAAAAAGGAGAAGAAAAACACACATGCTTCGTGAGCATTCAGGGCTCTGTTTTCTTTTCGCAGGAAGGGAAGTGAGTATGAAATCCAGTCCAGGGCAGAAGAAAAGCCTTTTATAAAGCCTTTCATAAATAAGGGAAGTGACTTAGTCCACACAGTGGACAGTTGTATTATGACCTTTAACCATTTACAGGCACATAAGGAACAAGAACACTTTGTTAAAATATTTTCACTTGAGCTTTTCTGTAAAACATTTATCTTGTGTAAATTTACACATAGATACAACATTTATATCATGTGACAGTTGAGCTACCAGAGAGGGCTTTTTGTTTGTAATAAAACTGCCTCATACTCTTTTCTGCTCGCTAGTGTATGTTATCTTCCACTTATATATTCTAACTGTGAATACATTCAATTACACATAACATTGAAAAAGGCAAAAAAAAATTTTTTTTATTTTTATTCATGTCAAATTTTGTTGTTTGGTTCCCCATCCTGGATATCTGCAGGGAAGACTACCAGCTGTGAGGAACACGTGAAGGCTAATTAAAACATTAGAAGTTTTCAGAAGTGCATCTGTGAAAAGAGCTTGAATTATCCAAAAATGTTTTCTTATTTAAAATCTCTTCTTGAGGGATCACAGGAAAAAAAAACAATGGTTACCCCTAATGTAACAGCTCAATTTATATTATTTTCTTTTTCTAACAATCTTAGCTCTAATCATTGGCAAAGTTGGCAAAAAAAAAACATGTTCAACAAGTAAATGAGTAAATAATTACTGATCATGAAATGCTTATCAGTGTAATGACACCCCAAATCGTGTTGCAGTGCAAATTTGTTGAGGGAAACATTCCAGAAATCCACAGCTGCTTTTAAACCCAACAAAACAAACTCAGCTCATTCCAAGTTCTTCTAGATAGAGTTGCAAGCAATTACAGCCATTACAAGCCTGTTAAATAAAGCCTAAGCAAACCCTTAAATAAGACATTATAGGTCAATAAATTATCACAATACAGAAAAGTAATCTCCACACATAAACCCATTCACGTTAAATTCAAATTACAGCGTTTTTACAATAAAAGGCTCCATGCTACCAGAGTAGCTCTTGTAAACTGAGCTGAGTCTTTGAAGAGCAGTAATCCCCCTGACAGAATAAGGCCTTCCTGTCTCCTGTCACTGAGTGAAATACCATCAGGGTCCAGCTCAGGATGTTTAAAAAAAATTCTTTGATCCCTGTTCTCATCATGGGTCTCTAAAAAAAAACATATTAAAGCCCATATTTACAGCTTGGTTCAAGGACCGGTTTGGGTCTTACTAACTCATTCGTTTATTGGTAAAAACTGAAATGATATTTAGGCCCAGAGTGATGCAAACATTTTTGCATAATAAGGGCCGTGGGTAATTCAACTGAAAGGTGGGCACGTTGTATGTGTTTGCCAGAAGAATGAAGGTCCACGTCTTTGCTTGTTTTTTAGATTGACTCAAAGTTGGCTGGAGGTAGCATTTCCAATATGCTATCGTCGGGCCTGAAACCGCCTCTTCAGAAACAGATGGGGGACATCGCTGAGATTACGTCCATGTTTAATACAGTCTATTAAAAGTTAATTTAAAGTTGAAAAAAATAATAATCCATCTACACCAAATGATCATTTTCTGGAAGAAAGCTGCTGAGCGTGAGATTATCTCCTCCTTCCTCATCACTGTCTCCGCCTGCATGCATCACCAGCACCCCGTTGCTCACTGGGTTGCGTTGCCTGGTGTAGGTGTAGTTCCTTTCAGGCAGTAAGGAGGAGATGCACATCATCTCAGTGGCCTGCGGAGGTCTCCTCACCCTGTACCTACTTGTTGACAGCTTGGTGCAGAGGGTAATGGTGGTGACCATAAAGAAGGTGGCCAACCCTGCTAGGGAGGCGATGGCGATGAGGCAGTGCTTCACCACGCCGCGGCTGGAGCAGGGCTGGGAATCAGTGCTGGGTGGACTTGTTGGTGCTGATTTAGTTGTAAGGGTTGCAAATGTTTTGGGTCCAAGAGGTATTAAAATTCCCACGGGAGAGGTGGAGTTGGTCGTGTTCATGGAGAAAAGAGTGGATGGAGGCTCTGTCGAGGACCCTCTTGTAATTCCTTTCTCTGATGTGGAGGTGTAGATTCTTGTGGCAGAAACAGGCCAAGAAGTAGACGGAGGATTAGTTCTCTTGGTGGATTTCTCTTTTATTGTGGAGTGAAACACAGGTGCTACCCCAGAGGTGGTGCTTTCTGTCTTTGTGGTTGTAGCAGAAGTTGAAGAAGTGCTTTGGTTTTGGGTGGAGACTGGAGTCGAAGTAGAATTATCAGAAGGGGTCGTGGGATAAAACGTTTCTGTAACGTCAGGCTTTGTGGTGGAGACAGGTTTAGTTGTAGGCACAATTGTTGCTAAAGTTGAAGTTGGAGTGCTTTGGTTTTGGGTGGAGACTGGAGTCAAAGTAGAATTATCAGAAGGGGTCGTGGGATAAAACATTTCTGTAACGTCAGGCTTTGTGGTGGAGACAGGTTTAGTTGTAGGCACAGTTGTTGCTAAAGAAGCTGCAGAAGTTGCTGAAGGGGTAACTATGTTGGCAAAAGTGGTGGATTGCTGAAGTAGCTCATCATCTGTTGGATTGACTGTTTCTGACATTTCCATGCTGTTTGGAGACTTTGCTTCAGTTGTGGTAGCTGCAGCAGAGCTATGAAGCAATCCTTCCAACAAGCCGCCTGTAGTTGCTGCTACCGACTTTGTGACAACCAAATCAGAAGATCTGACGTCTGAGCTGTTGTTAGTGATGGTTGCTATTTCCATTTCCTTTGTTGTTGCAACTCCACCTTCTGCAGGCGTGTGAGTTTGATGAGTTACTGTTACATTATGAACATTTGCACTGAGCTGCGTTGTCGTTTTGTTGGGTTCACCAGTTGTGTACATGTTGTTTTCTGTGTTTGGAGCACTCATGGCCACCGTAGAAAACAAACTAAATATTCCCCACAGCAGAACAACAGGCGCATTAATGCTGAGCTGCATCCTCATTGTTGTTGTTTAATACAATCTGAAATCACAGGGGGAAAAAATGTAAAGGTCATGTGAGGAGATTTTTAGCTTGTTATGAAACAGACTGATATTAATACGGATGCCTCTATATGAGCTACGAAAGCCAGCAAGCAAGCAACATCATCAGCGTACAGATAGATTATTTCTGTACAGTTTATTAGATGTCTAAAAACTGCTGCCGGGGTAGAGGGCTCAGACTACGTTTTTCACAGCAAAGATTCTTGGTTATTGTTACATTCGACTATTAAAAGAAAACAGGATGAGTCGTTTTGTTAAAAACTTCACATGTACCGGTGCTACATGGCACATTCAAGAGAAGATCTGCAAAGAGATAAAGAGGAACTGTTTTGTTCACAGGAGGACATAACATTTGAAAAGAAGAGTGGTTAATAAAGCGATTAAACTGATGTAGAAGTTTCAGTTAAAATTCCTCACATGGGGGGAAAACAGTCATCTAGTGACATCTTACTAGGCAACGGTCATCCGTTTTTCACGACAGTTGATACATGTTTTAAGTTATTCTGCATTTTAAAGCCAATTTGAGACTTTTGAAAAGAAGTCAGAACAAGGAGAACCAACTTATAATAGTCTACATCAGATATGTTTTAACTGCAAAACATTAATCATATGTTGTTATGAAAGGTTGTTTAAACTAAAAATGCAACATGGATTTAAGTTAGTAATTAGAAATGTAGATAAATGAACTTTCTTTTGGAGCAAATTCCAGATAGAAATTACAATTTTGTAAAAAACAGATAGTGCACTTAAACACCTGTTCATTACAAGAAGCAATTTCCAGAATGAAAACTTTAATTTTGTCACAAGAGTTACCTGCGATATAGATTTAAGGATTATATAAAACAAAAAGTGAGTTCAGTTAATTTCAGCCTCTCTGGAAGAATATCCTTAAAGCCCTAACATGCTCAATGTGAGACTGCTGTATATAAGGGAAATGATCACACTCTGCTGAAAAGTCAAGATACAGACGGACACTTCCCCTAGCAATACATGGCGTTAGTTGGCATCAACAGGGAAGAACAATTTACCAAATGCTGATTGATCTGTTCAGCTACCATTAATTCGATCAGATCTGTTCACAGGTTGAAGATGTGTCTTACCTCACAGATGGAAGAATTAGGTGCTGCTGCGTAGAGTCTGTCCTGGTGTTTTGAACAGTTTTTTCACTTTAGATAAAGAAGCAGGAAGTTCTTACTTCTGTAAAAGGATGGTTCTCACACGACAACTTCTGACCACATTTCAGTGTAAGACTCAAAGTGGCATGTGGGCAAAAGTGGCAATGCAGGAACATCAAAGCACAGATAGATAGTAAACCACAGTTATAAATGATCCGCTACATCAGAACACCATATCAGGGGTTTTACATGAATGCAATTAAAAAGCTCATAATCAAGTCTGAAAGTCCTTGTAAAGATTGTATTTTCAGGCTTTTGGCTGATTTGGTTCATGTAAATCTTGCACTCCCACATTTTTACCCGTGGTAAAACTGAAATGTTCTTCCAAAGCTGAACTCATAACTGTCACTTCCTGTACTGATGACTCAGACTGAGGCTGAGCTGTGGTTTTGAAAACACTGTAGAGGTTCAGAAAATCCAAAAAATAGTTTCATAAAGATCAACTGCAATATGTGGAAATGTTTTTTATTGTTTCGTCGATTTGAAAAGAAGAGTTACCTTTGTGTGCATTTTGACTCTTTTTTTTTTTTACTTAGGTATTTTTGACCAAGAATTGACTACAAAAACCAGAGCCATCATCATCTTCATGTTACATTTTTATCTGATGATGCAATAATTAAAGTGAATCGCAAATATACAGTATTAAACAAAGCCTTGGCCTCTAATGATGTCACAAAACTATTATCCTTATATCTCTCTAATATAGACACTTTTGTTATCTTTTATTAACATCTAAGCTACCTTTGAAGTCAACTTTTATGCTTTTGTAGCTCAGGAAATCTAATAAATCTTTACACATCTCAGGTCAAAGACAATTAAGAAATTTCCGCCATGGTGTTGAAAAGAGGCTCCTTGTTTTACTGGCTGACAATGAAGTGGAAACTGAAGCAGGAACACTTCACAAAAATGTTTACTCACCTTTTCGACCGCAGACTCCCACTTCCTCCAACTACGTGTAAAACCAACAAAAAGGCTTGAATTTATTCTCTGAAAGTATTTACCAACTGTATTCTGTGAAATATAGAGCTAAATTAGCCATAAACTAGCAAAAGAAATCATTCAATCAAGTGCTTAATGAGACTGGTAACAGTAAAGTACAAAGTAAAAACTTTATGAGGAATAATCTGACAATGTGAGGAGTGAGTTTCTTCAATTCTTTAGAAAAGTGAGAATATATTATCAAAGCAAAATTAAACAAAACATGAAATAAATGTATTTCTTGAAGCAGAGGACTAAATAGTTTGAGACCACCGTTTTCATTACTTATGATATGGTGGTTAGCACCACCATCAGGTGACAAAAGAAATAACAGTGGATTGAGGTTTTTAGTGCTTTCAGGTTGGGATTGAGGTTTATTGACAGTAAACTAATAAGCAACAGTTTTTAAATGATTGTGGTAGCAATTATAACATGTTAGGCTTTAGCGCTGGGTTTTGATGGTCTCAAGTCTTTTTTTGGACTGAACTCAACAGGGGTGTGAAACCATCTCAGATAGTTTTTTAAATGGATCATTTATTTTGTAATTTCTGTGTATAATATTTGTCTTCATACTAGTTGAAGTCTGAACTTCAACATTTATATCCAATGGCTTGAGTTGACCTGTAAATATATAAAGAAATGTAGAAATGAAGAGTTTTCTTTTCCTGTGTAAAATCTTTATTATGTGCACAGAACAGTTTGTCAGGGGTTCAGTGAAACACAAGCCGAGTGAGTGGTCCCTTCCCAACACCGAATCTGCACTGGAGAGGGCGACTGCAGTTTGACCCTTAACAGTGACGAGAGGCACCACTACATTTGCACAACATTTACACCAGATAGATGCAACACCCCCTCCCCCCCAAAAAAACCTAATGTTGAATTTCAAGCCCAGCATAACAAGGGAAAAAAAGAAGAATCAAGGAATTCTTCCACATTCATAAATCTGATGGTAAGCAATGAGCAAACTGGTGGCAGGATAAAAGTTGAACAGCTATCGTTTAAAAAAAGAATCCAGCTCGACAAACTCAATCTACCAGGTTGTGATTGGAATGTACTTCAAGAAGGAAAATAAACGTAAAAGCAGTGCATGAAACCACACACCACTCATATTTGGCAACACACAAAGAAATCATGATAACAATGGAAATACTGATGCTACATACAGTTTCTGAGTAGTAAGTACAAACTTCACATGAGAATTGATATCACAAAAAAGTTAAGACTTTTCCTTCAACAAAAATGTCTTTCCTTCAAATGTGAACTTGAGCTGAGAGAGTTTTTTCTTTTCTGTGTGTGTGGGGCTGAGGGACATGTGAAAGTTGGCAAGGGAAAAAAAATTAAAAGTTCATTTTGGAATGTAGGCTTGGCCTAATCGCAAGGACTACGCCAAGCTTGATCCGAATCTTGTATATTTGGCCGTGGCAGACCCCGTCCATTCGGTCCTCTCCAAAACCGTATCACATGGCAACCTTGGCGACCTGCTCTTCCAGTCTGGCGATTCGTCGGTCTTGGAGGATGACGCGGTCCCTGAGTGACTTGAACTCTCGGAGTACCTCTTCCAGTTTATCTTCCATTTTCTGCACAAAAACAAAAAAAAGGGTTAGCTCAACCAAATTGTAAACATCTTGACTCAACATATTTACTCTCAGAGCGCTGCTAAAGATTTTCGAGGAGGTAAAAACTGAATCTTCTCCCTTTAAAAACAAATGTTGCTGTTAATCCTGGCAGAACAAGCAGGGGTTTTTACAGAGAATGAAGCCCTAAAGCTGTTTTCCTTTGAATGGAAACCCAAATACAGTAAGTATGTGCTGAATCATAACTTTAATGAATTGTTCCAACCAGAATAATTACTATGAACGTGGAATACAACAGTCAGCAAAAAAAGCTGTGTGCTGTGTTCAAGGACACTCAGGAGAAAGAGCAATGTTAATCCTTTGAAAGAATGTAACCAGAAAAAAAGATAACATAAGTTTATGAAACGTTATTCAAGCAAATATCTAGAGCATGTCCATACATTCAGTATTTGTCTTGATATCCTAACACTTACTACTGAGGGCTGTGGAGACACGTGCTTCTGGACAGTAGAGATGGGTTCTGGTTTCGTGACTGTTTTGGTCTCCAGCACATTCGTCTTGACCACTTTCAGATCCCGGTTCTTTGTTGAGACGTATCCGTCTTTGAGCGAGATCAGGATCGGGCCTCCGTTTTTCCCAGCAAACCACTCCTCTGCCTCCACGGCGGGATCGGGGCCGGCTGTATCCGGATACAGGTCGTCCTGAAACAGATCGGACTGGACGGGGAGAGGACAGAGGAAATGTCAGGTTGAGGTTTTTATGTCAAATGTTGAAAGGTGTGGATGGAGGAAAAATAGATGGTCTTTAAAGCAGCAGTTAAAAACAAAAAAAGACGTACCTTACGTGGGACCGTCATGATGATTGGTTCACATTTTCTCTCATGCAATTTGTAAAACCTACAGAGAGAACAGATAGATTGTAATGAATAAAAGAAAGTGAAATGTTAAACTTGTAAGACTAATCATACAGAGTCAACAAGCACATCTTATCTTCTAGGAAGAATGAATGCATTTGTCGATTTCTTGCAATAACTAAACAATAACTAAGACATTTACATTTATCTTATGTATCTGTATATTTTCGATATTTTCAAAAAAACATGAAGTTCAAATTTAAGATCACAGATATTCTACTCGCACTCCAGTCTCTAACTGATAATGATGAAAATCAGACAGTGAGAATTTGTAAATTAAACAACAGTAAAATCCTATCTGTTCCATAATCAGCTGTTTTCTGTTTTTTTTCTTTATATTATCCCTATGAGACCAAAGTGTATCGTTTCTAGCTGTTAGACAAACAACATAAGACATTTATTGATGTTACTTGGGCTTTGAAGTCTTGTGATTGCAGTTATTTATTTGTAGCTTTTTCTAACATTTCAGAAACCAAAGGTAAACTAATGGTACAGATTAATCGATAAGAACACATGTTATTAGCAGCCCTAGTTTTGTCTCCTTTCAGTAACTTGTGCTGCTTGGAGACATTTCATTTTGGTTTCTGTTTTTTTGACCAATTCTGTATTTACAAAACAAAAAGCCTTTTCCTGACAAAACCAAATAACTCAACGGACTAACTACAAACTAGCTGAACAAAAGTATAAAGCACTTTCCGCAATACCTTGCAATTTCACATTTGTTAACATCCAGTCCTCTTTTGGGCATGTATCCCATCCCTCTCTGGGGCTCCTTGGTGGAGTAGGTGCTGAGGTAGTGAACAAACGGGGCCTCATCAGTGATCTCAAAGTACCGGATGCTGCTGTCGCCCTGACGAGACAAAGTCACAGCTCGAAGTCAGTTTGTGAATTCAATTATTGGAGAACAAACACAAAAGATCTTTACAGGCTGCTTACCTTCCCACACAAGTAGACTATGTTGGTGTCCGGGTCATAAAAGGGAAGCAGAATGCCATTACTGGAGTCCATCTCTTGTACGCATATCGGCTCATCCATGTTGTCCTGGAAACACAAATACACAGATATATTTTTAGTAAACCCTTACGGTGAATAATGTTCTCCTCAGCCATTCCTGCGCTCAGTGCATTTATAGCCAAACAAGAACAAGAACAAATATTCTGCTATAAAACCTCTTAATATGTGTTAAGGAGAAATAATCTTGTTAATGTCACTAATTTATTATGCGCCCCCAGCTGGAGCTGAGGAGTAATGAAAATCCTGTTACATTCCTAAAAGCTGAAACTGGTTGAATCAATTGATAATATTTGTACACATATCCTGGGCAGGAAGCTGGCTCGCCATCATTTTTATAAAGTCTTTACAAAGTCTTTTATAGTTTGCAGTGTTCATGTGTATATGTGTTTTTAAGGTGCAATGAGAGTTTACTGTCGTACAGTTTTCCACAGGGCTAGCTGGCGCTCACTCATGCGGCTAAATCCAGTTGTGAAAATGTTTCCATCTGCTAAAAAGATCGCTCTCATTGGCCGAGCTCCCTCGTGGGCTTTGTCCTTCTCCTGCAAACAGACACACATTTGTCAGACTTGGCAGCAATGTTTGAAGGCTTTGCTGCAGCAGTTCGGTGGGTATGATGACGGGAAAGATTATTCCATACGTGGAAGCATTCTAGCTTCAAATCCCGGCCCGAATCAACTTACCACAACAACCTTCTTTTTACGAGGGTCAATGACGCGGACCTTCTTGTCCTTGCAGGCCGTGCACAGCAGGCTGCCATTGCGGCTCCAGCTGACACTAAAGATCACATCAGGGTGCATGTCCTCCAGGTTGATCATGGCCTCTCCCGTGCCCACATTCCAGATGACGATCTGGTTATCACAACCTAAAATGGACACATGCAGCACAGCTTGACTACACACCTCTTTGTCATAGTTTATTTTAAGCGTTTGACATCACACAAAGCCAAAGCAACAGTAGGCAAACCCAGACATGATTGGTCAGATCTGGAGTTCAGCTGTGCATGGCAGACAAAATGAACCAAACAGAGGTTTCAGTCAGAGGAACGAGGTGGACCCAATGCCACAGGAAAAGCTTACCTGCACTGAGGAGAACGTTACGAGCGGTGGGATGCCAGGACACGATACCGACTCTCTTAGAGTGGCCCTCTAGCACGACCACAGGCTCTGACAGGGGGGTCTCCAGTCCATTTTCAGGAATCTGCCAAACCTAAGTAAAGCGTTTTGAAAAAAGAAAAGTTTTGGTGTCATAACTCCTAAAACTCAAAACCCCAACTTAGAATGAATGACTTATTAACAGTCCTCTGCAATCAATAATTGTGCAAAAAGCCATTCAGTATGTCATATATTAAAAAGGAGAACTGTGTCCTTACCATGACTGTGCAGTCCTCTGATCCACTAGCAATAACAAGGTCATTATGAGGACACCAGTCGATGTCCAACACAGGGCCTGTGTGACCACATACTGTAGGGTAGACCTTGTCTATACGACCAGTCTGTGAGACATAAGACATGTTTGTTTTTATAGAGTATTATAGAGCGTGAGAGACTGTGACAGAAGAAACACAGATCTGTGAGCAGATACCTTTAAGAGATATGCAAATGACTGGTGAGCACAGCTGAATCAATTATCGTGTGTTCTGGAGAGCTCATAGTCAGTCTTTTCAATAACTCCAAAACAATCCTTGACTCTTTTATGACCATCACTTACAATTTCTCCTCATGTTGGGCTAAACAACAAAATCGCCAAAATATCCTAAAGTTAGAGCAGCATCTCCAGAGGCGTGACTTTATACGGTGAATAAAAATCAATTAACCCACTGGCCTCAAATAATGACACAGTGGCAGCTGTCCCCTCTGCGAGTATCATGTGTTCAATTAGCCAACTGTAACAGGATACACATTGGATGCCTTTACTATCAGGCAGATTTAAACATTGATTATCTTTGGTTTGTACTATAGATATGCGCCTCAGGGGATGGCAGCACAGGGTCACAGCAGAGCAGCAGAGTGCTGAAGGTCTGCTGGCAAATAACAGGCCTATAGGATTGATTTGTTTCACACTCTGAATGCCATAATCTGATACAACCCTTGTGTATCTCTCGGTCTGTTTTACACTCTGTGTCCATTTGTTGTCTTCAGTTGCCAGTGTCATCCAGTTACATTTTCCTCTCTGATAATCAAAGCCCCTGTGTGTAGGATGACTAATGCTGCAAATACTTCTAAATGTCAGCTGAATAAATTGTTAGAGAAGCAGCCTTAAATATGATATCGTTGTTGATTCAATCCGATAAACTTTGAATACAAACTTACTGCCTTTCTGTAATTGTCCATCACAACATTCTCTTTACTAGAGTGGTTCCTAACATTGGTATCAGTACCGATATTGGTTCTCATACTAGTAAAAGTGCTGGTAATGGTATTGGCCTTAGATATTTCCTAACATATGGTATTGGCAAGTGTGCCAGTCAATGAACTGATCTGATGCCATAAGCAACAAGCCCGGAAAAACAAGTGGTTTCAGGTAAATGATCATGTGACGACAATAATGAATAACTGTGTGGTGCAAGCAGTAAGTGTTAGGTTCATCAAAGCAAAAATGTCAGCAATCAGTGTGTGTAGATTTGGAATGTATGTCTGCACAAGGCACGAGTGTCTTGTGATTATTCTAAAAATATATCTGAAAGACACAGTGAAGTGTGAAAAAAACATCACTTACTTTTTGCAAAGGAAGGACAAGAAAGGCTCCACCCCCGCTGGCGTCTATGATGATGGCAACAAATTTGGGATTGACGCACAGAAGGAGCTGTCCCATGTGACCCTGGACACGCGGATGTCATCGTAGCACTGGTCGTTCCTCACGGCTTGACCGAACACATGACGGAACTTGCTCTGTCGCACAACTCGCCGCAACATATCTGCACAGAGAAAAAAAGAAGAGAACAGTAAGGCAGAGTTACTAGTTTATTCTTACATCATATGAAATAAAATGCATTACTGTCATGTTTACATTTTCCCCACATAAACTGATGTTATAAAATGTGAAAAATGAGGATCCTTCGTCATCACTGAGCAAGCAGAGGATACCGGGGGGTTAGCTTGGTTTTCTGCCAGCACAGTCTGTCTGATCTGAGATTATGCTTACTAACTGTGACTGGGTTTGTTCCTGTGCATACCTACTGGCAAATATTTGAGGTAAACTTTGCAGGAGACACATTTTTCCTCCAGCTGTGTTGGCTACTTATCTCATTGTAATTTTCCAGATTTGTTTAAGACCAGAACAGAAGGTCAAGTTAGATACAAAGCCTTGACTTGGAAGTAAAAAGGATTCAAGCAAATACAAAGTATAGTTTTTAGCAACCTCAGTTCCACCAGACATCAAATTATCATTTTAAACCAAACTATACCAAGGAGAAAAATAGCTATACAGGAACACGACAGAGCGAAAAAGTCAATCAAGTTTACTTCGATGGTATCACACAAAAGTAAATATATACAAACATTGCACAACACAGCAGACATTTCATACAATCTGTTGGATAGATAGATTATGTTGGTTTATAAGCAGACGCTGTATTTAAACCAGAGTCTGACCGATATGGGATATTTGAGACATTAATACTGATAATAACTTCAGCTAAGACAGAATGACAGATAATTGTTCTTTGGCTGACAATGGATTTCAGAGTTGGAAGAAAAAGCTGTAGACAGAGCTGATAGTATTGTCAACCATGAAACAGCAGCATGTTTCTGGACAAAATTCATGACGACAATATTCCTGATTCACCTAAATCATTGTTCTTTGCATCATACGTTCTGTAAAACAATGTCTTATCAGTAAAGATATGGGCCCATATCTATACTCATTATCAGTCGACCACTTTATCAGCCAAGCTCTACTCTAAACAGTCACCCTTCTGCGGATTGATATTTTAGATATTTGTTCCAAAAAATAGTGCGGAAAAAAAGTTTAAACATGCTTCAGGAAAGAAATCCTAAAACATCCACAAACTCATTGTCGAAATATTTTACAGTGTATGTCCAACGGCACAACCCTTCACCAAATTTATGGTACTAAAAGAGGCTCTAATTTAAAGTTTTGAAGTTTTTTTACATTTATGCTACCTGTCTTATGAAGGTCAGCTTCGCCTCTGCAAATTAGAGCACATTAAATCTGCAGTCAAGCACGTTTGTTTTGGATTAAAAATCAGAATCTGTCCCCTATTACTGGTATACAGAGCGAGCCACTTCCTTTATACCCGTTGTAAACATAGTAACTCATTGTATATAACATAATTTCCTGTGTAACGAAAAGGCAATGGAGCAAAGTGGTGAAAATGAAGACATTGGCCTTTATGAAGTTTGAGGCCATACAGTGGAACTTTATTCTTCTGAACGAGTGCATAAAGGCTTCGTGTAGACTCAACATCCTTTACTATTTTGCTTTAGGTTAGAGCAAAACAATACGCATTGATATTTATTTTTAGCACATCTCCTGTAAGTAAATCAGAGATGTCCTGCTACTGCTCCAGGATCCTGGAAATCAGCTCCAATGTTTCATCCACATTTAATAATATCGTGCCTTCCTGCCCCCTCACGCATGTCAAACTCTTCCTGTTTCTTCCTTCGCTCTGGTTTCTGCTTCCGGCTTCAAGAATTAATTCAAGAGTGAACTATCTTTTTACAGCAAATTCAACTGTTTGAATTTGATCAACTTTGGAAAACGTTAGATCTGAAGTTAGGCCTATACTTGAACTGGTCTTAGTTTGGTGTATTGTAATTGAAGGAAGAAATGTATACCTGCGGGATATTTTCATCCTCTGAGTGACAGGATGTTTTGTGTAATTAGGTACATGAAAAAAAAATCAAGCAATAATCAAGATGCCAGTCTGAAGACAAATACTAAAGCAATGTATAGGCTTCAGTACCTTTTCTGTTATCCAAACGTCTGTCATCTCATTCAATCCTATTCTTATTCACATTCAGTCATTGATTTTGAAAATGGAAAAGCTATGTCAAGGCTTTTTAAACAAATAATATATATACAGGACACGTATAGTTTTACAGAGGACTGTAACAGAGTTTAGCTAGTATCATCAAATGATGTTAGTTTTAGGGTTTTATTTTTTTTAAATAAATGAATTCAGCAAAGTAGGAGGATCCCTTCACGCCAGTCATACACCCACAAAGGTGATTTCAATTACTGTTCTGTGTCAGTAATGTGTGGGCGGGTACTAATTGTGATCGACCAACACTTCATCTTTATAGATCTTACATGATTAACGTGAAATCCATGTACTGCAAAGTGTATTCACAGTTGTGTTTTTTTAAATACAAAATCTGCACGTATAAAATATGAACAAGTATACCCATATAAGTGATATCCAAACCTTCTATAGGCTACAGTTCAATTTAATTACATGTAACATGGCAGTTTGTCTCTGCCCTAACATATTAACTATACATTTAGTAATTGTCTTTTCTCTCAATTTACCTACAACGCTACAACTAATTCCAGACCGAGATATTGTATTTGAAATAAACTTCATCAAGTAGGATTATAAAAAATGTTCTTTCCTATAATTAAATGACTTGCCCTTGATATAACTGATTCACAGAACAGAACAAAGGCCATAAACAGTGACAATGTTAATCCAGGGTTCCATACTGGCTGGATACACAGGACAACAGATCACAGCAGACCGGAACAGCGTGTTCCCTCAGTTCTCCATTCAAGACCAGCAACTCTCATTCAAAATATGCATTTGAAAAAAAAAAAAAAAAAAGAGCTGCTTCAGCCCCTGCAGGCTTTGGCGAGTTGATGCCATACATTTCCACATGCCCCCTCTCTTCCTGCTCTGCTTACACCACATGGTACTGAGCATCATGATGGTGGCTAATCAGAGACAGGCCCTTGATTCAGCCGGTGCAGAACAATGCTGAGATACTGTGTGAGCTGGAGGAGTGTATGAGGGCTTCTCTCTGCTTTTTTATTGTTGATTCACTTGGTAGTGTTCTGATGCCCCTTTACTGTTATTTTCCTGATCATCTGGACAACACGACCAAATTATGTGTGCATCCCAACACCAAATGATTCATCATCACCACTGCAGATTTCAGCCTAGATTGTTGTATTGCTGTCATATTGCAGTTTGTGAGGTTTAAATTGCATGCAGTCAGTGAGGGTGGAAACAATGGTTGGTTGCTACCGCTAGCTGGTACCAAGAGCTCGTTGTCTACTCCTCCTCCTCCCCGGTTTTTTTTAAAAAAGAGCTAAATACCGAGATCAAAACGGGGCTCAGCTGTGATCTTTAACCGCCTCGCATGTTTTTTTTTCCTAACATTAGTTTAAGATTACCCACCTAGCAACGGTTGCTACGAGGGCAGAAAAGAGCATGCACAAGTGTTCTGGTGGGTAACGTTAAGCCCCCCGTGTGTGACTTTTCACTTGAAGACGGCGTAAAGCACTGGATGGACTTTGAAGACGATGGGTTTAAAACACGTTAAATTAAGTTTAAGGGTGACAAGGGTGACAAATGGAGACCCGTGTTCCGCCGCACTGCCCAGGAGGCTCGGCTTGCTGTGCCGGGGCTGGTCCCATCTCTAGAGCCGCTGACACACAAACCGGAGGAGGAGGTAACCGGAGGGGAGGGTCTCTCTCTTTCTTTAACATTTGCGATAAAAAAAAAAAAACACCCGAGTAGCCAACATGCTGATATGTATAGGGTGCAATGTTTTGTCTACTAAGGTGTCAAATCGGTTACTGTAGCGCAGCTGCTTCAGCCAGTTACTGTGGGTTTTTTTTTTACAACCAGCCTCTCATCTGTTCAGCTAGCCACTTAGCTTAGCTGCTAACAGTTAGCTGCGGTGGACCGCCGCCAGCTGACGCAAGTGCAGATATTTCCACCCGAGGTTTTTGGGCTGCTCCCATTCCCCCAATAAACCATGCAGCGAGCTAAACGGATGCTGCAAAGTCCAGGCCGATGGATTACATGCAAATTGCACCATGCAAAGATACTTTTAATGCTTTCTTACCTCCTAAATCTATGCAAGATTTTCGAAAGCACGGGGTAATCAATCACAACACATGAATCTGGTAGTTTAGGCGCGCCCTTATCCTGCAGGACGTTGCTCTAGTATCCCTTGTCTCCACACACAAAAAAAAAGAGAAGCTCGGCTCGATATGCTCTTAATTCCCAGTTCTGAGTGCAAATATGTGGCAGGGAAGCAGTGTTTGAAATTGAGTGGTATTTAAGGATGCCCGTTGACAAATAGAGGGTCTCCTTTTCGCCTCTCACCTGTGGGAGACTAGCTTTCGTCTACTCTCATCGTTATTCAATTCAATTCAATAGGATACGGTGACGACCGGCTACGGCACATGCGCATATGAAAAGTCAGATTTCATTTCCCAGGGCTGTGAATGAGGATGGGTCTGCAGGAAAACTGTGTTTCACCCTGCTTGTGTCTTTTGGAGTAGACTATGTTTGCTGATTCATTTGATTTTTGTTCAGCTCTGCAAAAATGTTGATTTTTTTTTTTTTATCGCCAAAGCATCCTTTTTTTTTTTATACATAGACCCTCCCCTCCCCCCTGTCCCATCACATATCCCATCCTACCCGAGCCTGGGCTTTCCAAACACAATAACCCCCCTCTCTACTCCTCATCGTCTTGAATGCACCCATGCATCACAAGTATGGAGGAAGTATCCTGCCTATTTATTCTTTTTTCGGTTTGCCTGTTCAGTGAAGATGCTGTCAAAGAGCATACACCTTGTTTTTATTTAAATATTATTTATCCTATAAGCAACTGGCGTTTTGTTAATTTACAATTTCACTAGTTTTCAGTTTATGCTGCATGAAGACTGATGCGTTATATTGTGTTTTAACAGCTTACTAAGCTCTCTCCAAATGAAAGGAGAAGAGTGAACAGTTTAAACTGCTGCTTAGTCAGAAAATAGATGATGATTAGAAAATGATTACGAAACAACAGAAGGTTTATTATAAATTGTAAAAAAAAAAAAAATTGGGTTCACAAGCACCCTAAATGGCCATCCTGAAGGCCAGGGACCAACCTTTAATAATTAGTTCATGAGCCAAAACAGATGAGAAGTCCTGAAAGTGCTATGGATGAAATCAACAGCTGCTGAGCTTGCAAGTCAACAGATCCTTCTCTACAATTTCTGGCAATTGAGAACGTGTTAAGGCTTAAAGCTCCAGAAAGGAGATGTAAGTGACCTTTAGTCGGAATTATTTGTTTTTAATGTTTGAGTAAACGGATAAGTAATCTCCTTATGTAATTGAAAAACAGAATAACCTTCTCTAACACTATATGTTTGTTTGATGTGGATCCCTTCATTCATTTTAGACAACATTAATGCTAAGTATGTGTAATTTATGGATGAATGTAAGAGAGTAGTAGAGGAGGGAAAAGTTCTTTGTTACCTTCCTTTTTTATTCTTCTCAAAGGTCAACGGGTTTGGAGCATGTCCTAGTATGCATCAGCAGATGGCGGTAAAACACCATGGGACGTTTCCAAGACTGCCACAGAAATGACCAAGGTATACAAACACATCGCTCTGTGATTTAAAACTATAGGAGTAAATTCACCTGGCAAGAGGTTCAGACAGGGAGAACCTCCAAATAGAACCCAGATTTAAAACCAGCTAAGGTCAATCAAGAGGAAGAACTTGGACACCTGATTGTCTTTTTGTTCTTTAACATCATGTAAATGTTACTAACAGTTAAACCATGTGAGAAGCTGCTTGGGAAGTCCTGTCTTTGGTCCATATTGAATTACTGCTCCAATCCTTCAGGAAGAACAAGACTCTTGATTAAATGAGTGTATTCACTCAATAATGTTGTATATTACATAAGAACACCTGATCCTGTTGTTAGGATAACACCAGAGCATGGATGCATCAGCTGTTTTTAATAACCCATAGTTGTTGTTTTTTTAATACAGACATGTAAAACTGTGTTCAGAACAGTTTTTGTAGTTTGTGCTTCTTCTGTTTCCGTTTTACTTTTTTACCAATTCCTGATAACAAAGGAGCTTTTATTTTTTTCTCAATCACAGCTCGTTAGTTAGTGTCAGGGTCAAAGTTTAAAAAAAAAAAAAAAAAAAAGTCAAAACCACAATTTATGCAATTTAAAAACTTGCCATTTTTCTATGGTTGAAAATTGAAGTAACCTTTTTTTTATGTTGAGTTCATCAAGTTTGTTTTAAATAGCTATCACATGTTAAACAAAGAAAAAGGTTCTTATGGACAAAACAGAAGGCTGTTTTGACCAAAAGCAAACTATGAACCCTTTATTATTGAAGTCAACATATTTTCACTGAACAGTCTGTTATGAGCAGTTGGAAAGTACCCTCTCATCTTAATACAACACGTGCTGTCTTACATTAACCGTTGGGTCAGTAAACAAAGACAAGTTTGATTAGACCAACAGTCCAAAAAGTCCTTACCTTTCTTTGGCGATGCTTGAACTTCTGGTTGTCTCTCTCTGGATTTCTTTGGTACATCAAAAGCGTTCTTCATTTGGGAAACTTTTACACTTGGACTCTGCTCTGCTATCCGAACCAGAGCTTTGGTCCCCTCAGGTTTGACCCGGCGCTGATGTCTCTGCATTTGATTTGTTTCTTTGATTATTTCAGACACAGGCTTGTATGAAACCCCTCACTTCCTGCATCCCTATAGCTACTGTATTCACTTGTGTCTTTATTGTTACCATTGATAGTATCAATGTAGTTGTATTCCTGTGTGCTGTCTCTTTCAGATAGGGCTCATGGTAGATTTCTCTTTTCCCTGAACAAACAGGTTTTGGTCGTTGGATTTCATTTTTTGCTGTAACTTCATGGTTGTGCACAGTATCTGTCATGCATAAGGATTTGGGGGCTTTTTTGCATCAGGAGGTGGTGAATTTTTAAACCTGGATCGTCTCTCTAGGAACACTCTTCTTTGCAACATGTCCAGGTTCTGCAGGTCTTCCTCTGGAGACAGTTTTGCCATTCGTGCACAGTAGTCAAAGTCTATCATATCTCCAAACTGATCATCTATGCTCCCAAGCGAGGGTTCCCATTGGCTGAAGTCAGCTGACAGCCGTCGTATGTTGGTTGGCACCATATAAGTTCCCTTTTCGTCCCAAAGCAAGCACATGTCCTGATTAGTTGGAGGGTTGCAGGGTAGGATTTTATTGAAATCAAAAGTGTGTCTCCTCCTGACCGTCTCCTCAGAACGCAGATGATCTTTCCCTCGTCTTTGCACATCAGTAGACCTTAACTGTGCAGTTTTAAGCTTTATAAATGGGTTTTTAGGTTTTTTAGGGACAGGTGGAGGTGGACCTTTAACTTTGGGCTTTTCTTTTTGTGTACACTCATCTATAGAATCACATGAGGCTGGCGTGGCTTCAGGCGCCACCATTTCCATTGATGTGTCACTCATGGGCAACAGATGAGTTACAGGTGGAGGGGTGATGACAGCAGAGAAACATACAAGTTCACTCTCCCTCTTTAAGCTGGCAATCTGTATCTTTCTATCGCTGCCTTCGTTCCCTGGCAAAGGAAGAGAAGGGATAGCATTGCTTTGTTCCAATGAAAATGAAACATTGTCTCGCAGCAGTGGTATATCAAAGTCAGGGGTCCTAGGGAGGTGATGGTCAGCTGCTTTGCCGAACTTTTGGATGTCTTCTTCTTTGGTACACAAACCAGGAATACCTTCTCTTGCCCTCCTGGAGACTGCTACAGCAAACATGCTTTGATGGGACTGACCTGCTTCCACAGGATCAACCTTTTCCGAGCATGGTTCCCAACCACCACTGCTCCTTCTTACCAATCTGCTGTTATTTTGTGATGACATGTGCTCCTTATTAATATTAGTAGTAACTGGTCCTTCACTTTGGTTATTCCTGTTAAGTTCACTCTCTTCTTTCGCGCTACCAGTTGTCTCAGTGTTGGTAGCTCCGACATGACCGTCTCCTTTTAGCCGACACCTGCTGCCTGTCACTTCAGCCAAATGTTGACCCCTTTCCCTCTGAAAACTGTCTGTGGGGGAACCCTTAGCATGTGTTTCCACACTGTAAGTCATGACTGAAGCTGTCTCATTTCTTCTACTGGTTGTCTTCTTGTTGTCCTTTTCTTGTTGTGAGAGATTGCCATCACTGTTGCTAGCAGAGGCCTCTTCATTAACTCTTCTTTTAATAGATGGCTGAGGTTTCTCAATTTTTATCCTGTCGCCAAAAGTTATATTATTTTCCCCATCGGATGACGTCCAAGTTTCATCCCTCTCCAGCAACACGAAGTCTTCCTCAAGAGTGGGATCACATGAGGCTGATAGACTCCTCCTTTGAGAACCAAAACTTAATTTGCGACAACCAAGTTTAGATTGTTTTACATTTTCCTGCTCCTCCATAGCTGTAGTCCCAGCTAAGACCACAGTCTTGCTCCCAAAGCCTTGCTCTTTGTTCAAAGCTTGTCTTGTCTCCTTTAGGCTCGGGACAGTCTTTGACTCTTGTGAACTGTGACTGACAATCTGGTTCTCCCTGTCTCCACCCACTCTCTCCCCCCTTGTCTTTGGAGGGTTCCCCCACATACCTAGAGGTCTGATTGGCTGCCCAGTTTGGGGATCTGTACGTGCAGAAGTGACTGTAAGCCCCCCTGCATGCCCAGCGGCCATGATGCCACTGATAGTGATCCCACTATTCCCACCAATACTTCCAGGGGTCACAAAATTGCCATCGTCCTGATCTCTGCTCTCAACTTGATCTGCTGTCTCCAACATTTCGGTTTCCCCAGTTTGCTCAGACCAGTCTGAATTATCAAGAGATTCTTCATCCTTTTCAGAAAGCTTTTCCAACTTCTGACCCATGGTTGTGGTTCTGTCTTAGCATTAAGAGAAGAGAGAGACACATGTCAAGACAGTCAAGGCAGCACATTTATTTTAAAATGAAATGAAACCAGACAACAGGAATTCCTTCTTATTTTTATCTCTTCGGTCTTTCTCTATTTTTGCATATTTTTCTATACTGCTAACACTGCGAACGCCTCTCCATCTATCGCTCCCTATTCTGTTGGAAAGGAATGCTATGGTGGCTATAATTAAAGCTGGTCTGACTGCTGCCACTGAGTCAGAGGGCCAAAAAAGAAACAAGACAAGTGAGATAAGAGGTCAGCCAGGTCTGGTGCCAAGGTTGAATCAAACGCTGAGAAAAAGCCTTATATTAAGTAATTTATGAGTCTAGATTACTAATTCAGTAAACATATCCCTTCAGAGGCATACAAGTCGGAGACATCACGTACTGTCAATTACTGGTTCACAGACAAGGCCTGTTTGTGCTGTGTTTACTTCCCTCGAAACTGCCTGTTTACAGTTGTTTTGGTAACAGGGTGTACATAAAGGTCACCTGGAATATTTAAATCAAGTCACAAGTGTCTTGACTTCTGAACTGAATTGTTTGTTGGGGGCTTGATGATAGCAGAGTTTAACCACTGACGTGATGGATGGTGGAAGAGATATTATTACAAAGGGAAAACAGCTCAGCGGACTTTAAAGTGGCATGTGGAATATGAGTATTTTTAGCTGACGAACAAGCAGTCAAGTATTGTTGCGCCAAAAAGTTTTTTAGGAGAACACACCTAAAGTAATCCCAACAAATTCACACAAAATGCTAAGCTAATGTGCTTTGATATTGACAGCTGAAAGGTGAGTGAAGAAAGACAGTTGACTGAACTCTTTCACCCTGCGTCTGCAATCATGTGCTCTGCTGCTTTAGCTATTTCCAGCCTGAGAGGTGTTGAGTGACACTTCATTTCTTTGCAGACCTGAATATTCAACTAATGTGTTTGCCCTTGGAACGTAAATGAAGCTATCCCTCTTGAGGCTTGGATCATTCAGTTAGACTAGTAGTTGAATTAAATAAATTAAAATAACAATTTAAAAATAAAGATAATTGACACACCGAGTTAGCTGCAACATAAAAACAACACCGGTTGAGGGTACTGGAAAGCTAATGGATGGGAAAAATGGTTATAGATAGAAGTGATGGCAACAGTTGAAATAGTTTGCATTAAAGCTGCAGAAGTCAGCAAAAGTACACATATGTTAAACTGTTAGCTAAAAGTGGTAGAAATGTATGGGAAATGTAATTCTTCACTTAGTAAGCTTTAAAAACAAAGTAAGGACATCAAGGCATGGTTAGCTAAAAGTGATGGATACAGTTTATATAGTCTGCATTAAAATAGTAAGCTAGGTATAATACCTTTTAACAGATTATTAGCTTAAAGTGGTTGAAATATTTCTCAAAGTACTTGGAAACGGAATTAGCAGTACAGAAAAGTTTGTTACTGGATATTGAGCCACACGTGGTTGAAGTTTAAAGATAATTGTGTTACAAAGGCATTTGTTGTTGTTACAGGGCTAAGTTTTGATATGCAGAAAGCTTCGTGGAATGTTGAACACTGTCCATGTTTTAGCATTATCATCTCCTTTTCACACTAGTAGTGTTTGTTGTGTCATGCCACATACTGTCCTTAACCATGTTCCTCAAATTTTAGTAAAGCAAAAATAAATTCAATGACTACACAGATGTTTGAACTTGCAGCTTTAATGTTATCTAAAGTGTTATTTTAGGATGGATGTGTAAGCAATGACAGACATCTGTGATATTGACTTATGAAACTACATCCTTCATGCTTACTCTCTCTTGTTTCTTGTGTCTCATGTTTTTTTTACTCAGCACAGTTTATAAGAAACTTGACTGATTGCAAAAAACTATCATCCTGGTTTTCAGGATTAGTTGTACTTTTCCTGAACATAGTCCTTTGCATTAACTTTTGATTTGTAAACATATAACATGTAATATGCTCAGTGCTGAGAACTTCAGCTGAGTATTTGATATGAAAGGAAAGTTATTCAATCATACAATCTACTTTGACTGCGACATTTCCATAGCTGCAATGCAGGACTTGGGGTCATAAAAAGATAACTGTGCTGCTCATTTAACATGATACAACGGATACATGCAACGCAATATGCTGTTCATAATAAGGCTTGAATAGCATGCTTCAATAAATAACCACAGGAGCAGACAGTATCACAAAGTATACAACTTTTGGTCCACCTTATCTAACATTTTAATTCTTCTCCTACACTGCATTTGACACAAACACCTTTTAATGATTATACAGAGTACATACTGATACTTCCCTTGTCTGTCATATTGGAAGTTATCTAATTTCCTTAGCTTACATAAAAACCATAATAGATCTTATGTACTTACTGTTGTGAATGCTTGAAAGGTATGTTCCGTCTGCCCTCTGTCCTGTTAGACTTCTGTCTTTCTGGGAGATCTTCTCCTCCAGCAGTCACCTGGCACATGATGTCAGACTGACTTCATTTGACTAACTCAATAAGTTCTCTCCCTGGGCTGTCCATTTCAGCAAAAGAGCAAGCAAAGGCCAGAGACAGACAGACTATTCATCTTGTATGATCAAAGATGCACAGTTCATTTACAGTATGGTTTTCAGACACAGGTTTTTTTTTTTTTTGTGAAATGCCTTATCCTCTAGTACTGAATATTAATTAACAAAAAAAGAAAAGAAGTGCAAAAACAATAAAGAGAATGCAGAGGAAATGTTTTATTTCCATGATAAACATTAGACTGGACATCATTTTAACAAAATGTAAAAAAAGAAAAAAAAGAAAAAAGTGCATTACACATGAACAATTGCAATGTACAGTACAAAACACAAAAGGTAACAAAAAAAAACAGTAAATGTAACAAAATCTTTCTCCCAGGTAGGTTTTTCATGTTCAACATTTTTCTATCATCTCCGCCTCACATGCTTTGGGGCAGACTTGTGCTCTTTAAATACACTCCATAAATGCATGAATCCCCACCTTTAAACTGCAATATGTTTAAGGTCTTCCTCTTCAATGGGATTGTCAGTTTGATGCCTGCCGTGAGCAAATAATACAAAAAAAATAATTCAATCAAAACCAAACTGAAGAGAGCATAAATTGGAGCTTATTATTTTTTGCTGTGGTACAAACACGAGAACTGAATTTACTCCAACACACAGTATCTGTATTAGTGCTTTTCTTTATATTGACCAAATCTGCAAGCTTATGTACTTCATATCAAATTGTAGAGGAAAAACTATATACAGACTGGTTGATTTCAAATATTTCACGTTTAAATGTAAATGATAGTTCTCATTCCAGCAGGTAAGGTTCTTCAGCCAGCTATTGAACCAATACAGTGTACCACAATATCAAACAAATACCATTTTATTATAGGCTATTGATAAATGGAAGTCTATCCAGTATGCATGTATCAGGGTAGAGGAGGCTGCTGTGCATGAGCTTGTGTTTGTTTGCATACATTATATTGTGTGCAGATTTATATATAGCAGGGAGCATGGTTATTATTGGGAATTAGGGGGTGAGTAATGTACAAAAAAAAGCCAGACCATCAACAAACTCACAGAAACTTTGGAAGCCTGTGAAGCTTTATGATGGAGCTAAGGCCAAGGTTAAGGCACTTAAATTACAAAAAGATAAACAAGTTCAAAACATGAAGCAAACAAGCAAACGTAGTGCTGTGGTCTGGGACATAAATAGTTTAGTGCTTATTATTCACATACAGATCAGTCCAACCTGTCAGGTCTGCTAATAAACTTTGAACCACTGGTTTTGAATAGAATTGTACTAATGTATTAGGGGAATAGTTAAACGTGTTGAGAATGCTGCTCATTCATGTTCTTGCCAAGAGTTAGATGAAAACACTGAAAATCTATTGTCTTTCAGGTGATATAAAGCTACAACCGGTTAGCTTATGTCAACATTAAGACTAAAGAAAATATCCCACACACTACTCTTGCTAAGCATCACCAATTTATTTGAAAAAAATCACAAGGTTTTGGTCCCTCTGAACCTTTGTCAAGTGTGTTCAGAGGAACCGTAACGTTGTGATTTTTTTTTCTCATAAAGTTGGTGATGCTTAGAAAGATTAGTGTGTGGGATTTTTCTTTTCAAGTGACAGTTTGTTGGCCTACCCACCTACTTCATGAGATAGTTGGACGTGCCAACACCTCCTTAAAAGCATTAAGACAAAAAAAACAACATATTAAAGAACAGTGTAGTTGGAAGGTAAAAAAAAAAATCTGTCCAATTGCCCCTTTAATGCTTACAATTATAAATGTCAAAATAACAACCTGCTTGGGGGTCTAAGCTAAACTAGCCAGTTTCGAGATCATTTCACTCTCGGCAACAAAGAAAATTAACATTTTCCCCCAAAGTTAAAACACCTCAGATGAGTCTTTAGCTAAATAACCAATTATAACACTTCATAATTCTTAAAGCTGCAAAAATGTATAAAACATGTCACTAATGTCTTTCAGTTTGTAATGGTTCAATGTCAACAACTTCATGTGCCTCAGTTACATCATTCTCAAACAACCACGAGGGTAAAGAATAGGTTGAAGGCTAACAAGATTCTTTAAATTAAACGACTGGAGCAAACCTGCAGCTCCCTACGTTCTAGTTTAGGTAGGGGAAGGAACAGAGGATTTATTGTTAATGTTCAAGATTCTTCTAATCTAACTAAAGAAAAAAAACAAGTAAAATCTACAAAAAATGACACAGTAATCCTGAAGCTTAAAGAGGATAACATAGTCTGCATGTATTCTTCGCACAGACTTCATTTTTCAGATCTTCAAACACAGTTTTAACACTACCATGTGCTTTTCCTGCTTATCAACACGCCCCATTCAGTACCATTCAGAACAACCAGTTAGCCAAAAACAGGAAGAACACAATGTAAATCAAACAGAAGAAAACCCTGTGGCACAGCAACTTTGGAATTCAGGGCACAACTTGAACAAAACAGGCCTCAAGTCTGATAATGTACAAAATGCTTCCAGTGCATTTTTACACAGTAAATATAAATATTTAATTTGATAATTTGAATGTCAGAATAGTAACAGCTGGACTTTTTCTTTTCATATTTCACAAAAGTATCTATTTTGGATGCTTTTTTTCTCCCTAAAGTTTCAGTTTTTGCCTTCTCAAATTATTGAAATATAAAAGCAACGTGAAATGTTTGTGCACTGTATGAATGGATACTAGAGTTGTGCTCAAGTGCTTAGTCTATAAATAAATAGTCTATACTATTCAAACTTTCTGGGTGTAGGGGAAAGGTAGCCTGCTTTTTTTTAAAAACTTTTGATCAAACTGCTAACTGAGCGTGAGGCCCTTGATAAAAAGCCCAGATGTAGTCAGTGTCAGAAAATAAAAGTGTGTGAAATGTATCAAAGAAAAGAGTTTGCAGTGATTAAGTGAACTTGGCAGCACGATATGGCTTTGTTACATCAGGAGTGATCTGACCAAGAAGAGAAAATGAAATGAAACTTGAGCCTCTGAATGTTTCTCGCCATCATAACACTTGATGTCTACGTTTTTTCTTGTATGTATCATTGTTTAAGGTAAAAAGCAGTTGGTTAAATTCATTCCGATTGAAATATCTTGTCATGAATCACTGCACCTTTTTTGACACTAAAACATTTAGCTGGATACCAAAAGTTTTTCGACTATAAAAAAAGGAAAGAATGACGACCTTCATATGTTTTCTGTCTAAGCACGTTGTAGATATGTTACATAATACTGCAAGTCATGCGTGAGCTAAAGTGAGCGCTTTAACTACATGATCACATTAAGTTTAACGGAGGAGGTCGAGTGAACTTAGCCACTGAGCGGAGACAACAAAACAGTCTTTGACCAAAACAGTCTTAGATGCTTATGGTCTGAGGTACGACGCTTTACACAGAGGCATCAAAATGGCTCACATATGCTTGCATCCTTTTAAAAACAGTTATGCATTCACATGAAATGCCCAAAAGCAGCTGCAGCATGAAAAATATCAGTGAAGGTAATTGACCAACCAGTTATCAGTGGTGTCATGAGGGAATACTGAATGCAACCAATCTGCAAACATTCACTGAGCTCTTTCAGAAATACTGTTGAAGAGTTGGATTAAAAACAAACAGTACACTGACAGAAGCATGTTACTCCAGGTTTTTTTTTCTTTACATCAACATCAAAGAAATAGCTTTTTCAGAAATTAGATAACACTTCTGTTCTTAAATGTGTTTTGGGGGGTGAAATGGCAGATTAACATCTTCACTAGACTGTGGGAAAGAGTGATGATCCTTGTATGTGGAGGACACAACAGAGTCTACAGTCCTTACCTGCATGGTCAAAACAAATGGCATCGCATGGATCCATGCCAGTAGATAATAGCAGGACTCTCTATATGCAGAGAGAGCTGTTGCAGCTGTGAGGCGGCACAGGTCTAGGCAGAGCTTTGTTTCTGGTACAGCACCAAAACAGCCGTCATCTAAAAAGCCCATAGCCAGAATAATTAACCTGTTGGAGGCAGTGTTTAACTTCCTCCTCCTCTGTCTTATCCTTCCCTGTGATCCTGTATTGAGGCACGGGCCCCACTAGAGTTGCCCCTCCATGGACAAATTTGGAAGCTTCTCCAGCTGCTCTGCCCTCTGTTGCATCAGTTCCAGACCAAATCCCATCCCCAGTCCTGGCATTTGCAGCTGGAGCTCCACTGCACCACCTGCTGTAGTCTCATGAATTGCCCCGATCCCCTTCCTTGATATCTGTTTTCCTATATCCTGTGCCTGGGGATCCTCCATGTCCTCTGTCTCCACTGAGCTACGGTCAAAAGAAGTGTCATCACAGCTCATGGGTGACACAACTTTCTGTCGGATGGTTAGTGGGACACCGGGGATGCAGGTGGCACAGCGGTACACGTGACTACAGGGCTGGACAAAGTTTTGGGGGATGACTGCAGCAGCCTGCAGAGAGTGCAGGATTGGGCTGGAGGCAAAGTGTGTCCCGGGTGGATCTATGCATATGGAAGGGACAGTGCAGTGGCGGGAGGGGTTAAGGCGATGAGATCGGCCTCCTGCTGGACGGTCACACCGCCGTGCTTGTGGTAGACGCAGGCAGTCTTTACAGGACTGGTATGAAGGCTTCACTTTTAAAGGGTTTCCTGTGCTTGCACTGTCCTACACGGGAGAAAGTTAGAACAGAGCACAATATATAGTCAGTGTGGTGCAGAATGTTTAAACAATCTTAAGTAAAAAAAAAAAAAAAGTCTGAAGCAATACCACACAAAAGGAGTGATTTCAAACCAGATATAAGCATGGCTGATAAACATAGCGTGCTGATAATCATAGCATGGCCATATACACTACATATCATATATTAGTTAAAATATCAACTTTATCCATTATTAGATACAACAACTAGTCAATGTCTTCTCACTAAGACAGACCAGCTGCCTTGGTTTGTGTACATTTATCAGTGTACACAGTGAAAGAGCCCTAAGAAAGTTTCTTTTATGACAATGTCAACAATTAATGTAGAAGAAGACCCATTTGCTGTTAACATATTTAATACTATTCAAAAACCTGAAGCAAGAGATACACATAATGTAGTTAGAAATCCATGTGCTGTTGTACTCTGTATCAGCTCTCAGGAAATGCCTCTTGTCCAATCAGATTATTTTGTCAGAACTAAGGGCGCACTCACACCAAGTAATCCGTTCTGTGCCAAAGCATGTTTGACTCCAAAAGTCCAGTTTGTTTGACAGGTGTGAGCACAGAACACTGCTATGGCTCTGGCATGGTTGGAAGAGAGGGGCTTCGGCACAGTAGCTCGTGCAAGAGTGGAATCATGGGTATGTGACGGGGACATGACATATAGCCTAATTGATTCCGTTCCTCTCAACAATCACTTTAAACAATGGCAGCAAAGGACTCCCGTTGGTCTGATGCCATGGTCGAGTGTTTACTCAAAATTTGGGCAGATGCGAATATTAATAGTCAGCTGGACTCTGGGGTCTTTGGGAAAATCTTGGACTTTAGTATAACGATGTAATGACGTATGTGCAAGAGGTAACTGTGCTCAGGCTCGTTTGGTCCTGGATGCAAGTGCAGGCCAGCAGGGGACTGGGGAGGGGGACAATCGTGATTCGGCACGGTATAGGACAACTGGGCATAGTGTGAGTGCACCCTAACTGTTGTATAAATATGCTTCTGAATTAAGGCTCTTTTAGATTTAAAAAAAATTAAAATCAAAACTTAAAGCTAATTTTCCAAACTCACGTCAAAAGCTGCAGGGCAGCTGCGTTTGGCAGCCAGCCGGTTGCTGTTGTTGGTGTTCAGGTTGGCTAGGCCTATCTGGCTTTCCTCTGTTCTCTCCGCCTCCTTCCCATCTGAATTTCCAGGTGTTTGAGCCAAGGCTGCCATCTCTGCTTCCTCTTTCTTGGCCTCTTCCTCGTCCTCTTCCTCCAAAGTACTGAACTCTAGCCTCAGTCTCATGTCCTCCATCGGATCAAGTCGCCCACACGTTTGAGCTGCTGTACCCTCGCCTGGCAGAGCTAAATGAGCCATTGGGAAACCCTCATCCTCCAGCAGGGCATCCCTCTCCACGTCTTCAATCTCAATGAAAACTCTCTCCATACCCAGCAGAGGGGGGCCCCGCACTGGGGTTGAGGGCTCGCTGTCTAGCGCGGAGTCCGACAGACGTCTGAAGTAATAGTTGTAGTTAAGAGAGTCGAGTGGCTCCATCTCCAGACCCATACCCCTGCAGGGCGACGCCCCACAGCCTCCCCAGGCCTCCTCCCCTCTGAGTACCGGTGTCCCTTCCCCTCCTGTACTGTGACCAGAGGCTTGCAAATCATCTGACCCCTCTTCATCTGTGTCTGGCCTCCACAGCTTGTTGTGGCGATGTTTACTGACAAGGCAAAATATAATAACAAAGCACCATTGCATTATTTAATTCCAGGAGCATTTATGTTGTTGAAACTACATTTGTAATTCAATCAAATATAAAACTGTTACTGGATGTCTAAATAAAAAAAAAACACAGGGTTGCAGGCAACTTAGCAAAGTGCTAACCTGAGTGAAACTGTAGGCCTGCTTACCTGGCGTCAAGGATCCCCTCGTATTCTGCGAGCTGTCTCATGAAGGCAGCATTTGGCTGAGCTATACTCCGTTTCTGCTTGACAAAGTTGTAGGCCTTCTCCAGAGACCAGCCGTACTCCTTCATTGCATACGCAATAACTGTGGAGGCAGACCTGCTCACCCCCATCTTACAGTGCACCAGGCACTTGGAGTTGTTCTTCCTATGCACAGAAAATAATGACACATATGACAACACAATTACATCCCATTATGTTGACCTGGTTTGTGACAGTTAGGGTATTGTAGTAGTTTAAAGATCAATATGTCAACATATTAATTTGCAATTTTGGATTTGGTGGTTCTCAGGATTTCTGTATGAGTGCTCCATGTGTCATGAGAATGTTACCGACACAACTTCCAGCTTTGGCTAGCATTTCATTTAGGAAATAAAGTTAATGATGTGAGCCAATCAGACTGATAACTACTACTTAAACAGTTCTTTGCCTGATTTTCTTTCTTTACTCCCAACTCTAACAGCCACCCCCCCTTTCTGTCATAGCACCCAAAAAGCAGCGGCTTACTGATTCATTTTTGATCACACCTCAACTTTATCCAGAGTTTTTCCTGCAAACCCCCTTGTAACATTTCTGCGGAGTAAGCTGTTGTATGAACACAGCAGGTAATTTTTAGGAAAATTCACCTCGAGCAAGTAGAAAGAAGCAAACATGTTTATATCCTAGAACCAGTAACCAGGGCAATCTTTCTGCATATAATGAAACAGCAACATTGTTTTTTATGCTCACCAGTTTGTTCTTCTACACTTTTTTTGTTTATACTGTGAATAAGTCCAGTTACATAGAAGGTAGCATAAAGGAAAAATATCCCATATCCCATTTATATCATAGATTGCCTCCTGAGCTCATCCCCCCTCCTATTAGGACAGGGAAAACTACTCACTGTGAAATAATCAACTCAAGAAGATTTTAGGGGCAGGCTGTCTGAAATTTTCTCCAAATATTAAACAGTGCATGTGTGAAAACGACTGAAGTCTTACTTGGCCTTGACAATAAAGTTATAGGTTTCGTTCCAGTGGGCCAGCAGGTCTGTGGCCTCCTCATCATACACACGGACGTTGTGATAAGAGAACAATCCTGGGAAGAAGTTGTCAATCTCTCTTGTAACGTTCAGGATGTAACCCACCCTATAAACAAAAAAAGGGGGGGTAGGTTTTCTTACAAAACTCTATAGTTAATCAAAAGGTGGAAATAATTCTGTTACACAAAGAATCGAGCTAAATATTTAACATTGAACAAATGACTGACTGAAAGCCCTCCTGATGTGCTTATATTTATTATGATTAAGAGTGAGTTTTAAATTAAGGATACTTCTTTACCCAACAACAAAAGATCCCCATGTAAAGAGAACATTAGAGTACGTTTAGAGTTATTTATCTCATGTATTGTGTAGTAACAGATGTCCATTTGGAAATATGAGCTAAATAGGTACATCATCCAGAGTCAACTGGAGTTATCCAAGAGAGAAGGTGAAAAATACTTATTTAGATATAATCAGAAATTTAAGGCAATTATATACATGTAAATAAATGTAATCTAATCCTGGTCAGAATAAATCTTTTTGGATAAAATCGAGAAACAACAGTGTGTATTTCAGCTCACCCGCAGTCTCGAAGTTCTTCTAGGTTGGAAGCATTCCACTCAGAGCCCTGCAGAAGCAAAACATAAACACAAACAAAATCAACTTCATCAGAATAAATGTTAATAATTACAGTAAAAGGAAATGTATTTCAATGCATGCGAGTTTAAACTCCACACTACGATACCACACACTGTTTTAAAAATATGATATACAAACAATTAAAAGGTAGAAGAAAATACAAAATGCCAAAAAACAACAACAATCCTACCAAGTAAACATGGTCAAAGATGAGTGTGGCCTTGTCCATTTGACCGAGGATCAGCAGCATCTCGTTGTCTATGAACTCTTTGTACTCTGTGAGGTTACAGCTCATATGCTGCTCCAGCTCATTACGGATCTGTGGATGAGGATAGGACAAGAAACTCTTAAAAGAACAACAAAGCACTTAAAAAGACTCAGTTTTAACTTATAAAAGAAGTACTCCCTGGTTCCACTCACTAATTTCTTTAAAAAGTCAACTAGTAATGGTTGAACTTTCATTCCTTTATAAATGCAAAAAAGTGTTTTTCAATCTTTCATGGCTTAAAATCTGTGCCAAAAACCCTTAAAAACAACTCCTTTCTAAACACTTCACATGAGCATTGTGCATTTTACTACACTACATAACCTTACATCTATTTTCACAGCATTCAAACTGTTAAATTAACAAAATGTGAGAATGTGTTGTGTCTTTTCCTCTCATCAGGCTGTTGCAGGATTCAGCTCATACCTCTTTGGAGGTGATGTTCTCCAGGTCTTGAAACGTCATGATGGTGCGTAGTTTGGCTTTAATGAGACACTCAGTTCTCTCGCGCTCAGTCGGCCTGCACATAATGAGTCAATGCGTTAGAGCTGCTGTCTGAAAATTAGCATAACAGCGTAACATGTTTTCACGGCTGAAACAAAGGACAGTGACAAAAGGACACCTGCTGGTGTCCAAAGTATTTAAGTCTATACTATGACTCAGGGTGTTCACACACCAGATGTGTTAGTCATCACCAGAGAGGGTTCTGGGTGGTTGTATAATGCTTTATATCATACTGCACTTTAATTTATTCAAACTGTGATATTAAAGAGTTAGCTGCATTTAGGGCCTCACCTGTCAACAAACATGGTGGGCGAGTCCGGCCGTGTTGTCTCCAAGTCGGTCATAGCGTTCCACTCATTGATGCAGCTTTGCTCAGAGGTGATGCAGCTCTCATAGAAGGCCATCCACGTGAGAGCAATGCCTCCTGGGAAGTAGTTGAACCGACGTGACACCTCGCATGCCTTGTGAAGGACCTGCAGGGCAGACCTGCAGAAGCAAACAGGAAACACTTCACTATCACAAATCATCAGCTAGATGGATGCGTGATGGCAGGAGCAAAAGTGAATATGAAACCTATTCCAAAGGGACAAGAAACAAGACAGATTTATTTTTGTCAATTCTGATAGGTGATCTGATAGGTGGCAGAACTATCAGAAGTATGTAGACAAGCATTGTTACAAACATTATATTTTAAATATTCTAATGTGTGAGGCTTAATGAGTCTATAGACTTTAAGGCGCCATCCAGCTTTACAAGGATAAATATAATTATTGTGGTCTGGTTCATGTATGTGAGCTGTTCAGACAAACTGCTGGATGTCTTTGGGAAAAGGGCTGCCACCAAGGCAGGAGAATTGTGTGCAGGATTAAACCGCCATCCTTGATGGATTGACAATACTATAAACATGTTGCAATTAAGCCTTTGATTAGGTCCCATTTTTTTATCCCACTTCATTAGAACAGAATGTCAGAAAGCCTTTTCAGAATAATAAAGTACCATGTGACATCTGATTTCTGATTTTGTGTTTTCTAAACATGAATATGTTAGAATGACACATTGCTAACATTTTATTTTTCAATTGTTTTGAACCAAAGTGTTATTTGTATGTTGACTTGTCCTACCACTCAAAATAAGAAAAGCCATCCAGGAGCCACTATATTGAACATTTTGATGACATTCTCACTGACTGGTGTATAGGGGATACAAAATCTAAATTCAGGGGAATTCAGACATTTTCTCAAAAGGACTCTATTTTTTAACATTTGAGGGTCTCCATGCTTAGCCACAAAAAGCTTTGCTCCAGCTGATTGCAGCCAGCAGCAATGTAAAAAAAAAAGACGTGACACATTAAATTGAGTATGCTATAAGTGCTTGTTTTGCCACTGACCGACTCAGATTGTTATTCTGAGTTTCGGACAAACCTTATAGAGACAGACCTTTTTGTTAAGGACAGTGTTTTGTTTTAAACAAAAAAGCAGTTCGGTCTCCATTAACTACCGCAATAATGTTAACTTGCAAATACATGTTTGCTGGATTACCCCTCCTTTGGTTGGATTGTCATTTGTTTGAATTTACAGGTTGTGTTTGGTCCGTCTGAAACACCAGACATCATCACACAACTTTACAAACAATTAGCTGGTCAAGGGAGAGGTTCACAATCAAGTCATACTGTGTTTGAGGTAGAATGGTGGTCTTTGTCATTATAATCCACTGCTTTTTCAAATTCAATTGAGCAGCTGGCTGTTATTAAATACAAAGCACATTTACCTAACAAAATGTTCGATCTTTCACTTTAAATACCAATTAGAGCCAGGCAAAACAAGCAGTTTTATTTTGAATTGAAAAGATTATATTAGAGCTATAAAAGCCTGTTTTGTGGCTGCCTGCTGAAGCAATCTATCAGAGCAGTTCCTAAAATACTGATACCTGTCAATCATTTAGTCGCCAAAATAAGTAAACAAAAATGGCGCCCAGGTATAAAATACTGACCACAATAGTTCATTTGTTTCAACGAGGTCAACCTAAAGGATCTACTCACCACATGGCCTGCACGGATACAGGCTTGAAGACATGTGACCGCCCTGCTGTGTTCACACTGAAGCCTCTGGTGAGGAAGAGGAGGAGAAAGGAGATCACTAAGAGTCTGGACAGAGAAGATGAGTAGGAGTGTTCATGGGAGATGTAAACACAGACTGGATACGGCTCGTTCATGGAACTATTCAGGTCCCTGACCAGTGGAACATTCCTCCAGCATACAGAGACAGAGTTAACAGGTCAGCAAGAACAGTACCCTCACTCACGCATACAGAGAAAAATGCCTGTCATTCACTCTTCTGACACTGGAGGGCAGTAAAGCCTAAAAGGCCAAACACACAACTTGAGGTCTGCATGTGTGATATGAAAAAGAGAAGTGCAGAATCTTTTGCTTGTGTTTTTTTTTTTAAATAATCAGACGATTTAAATTTAAAAAACAAATCCATCTTATACAAAAAGGAAAAACTTACCCGTCTCCATCTAGATGAATGTTGGTGTCACTCCACAGAGGCAGCACCATCCCAATAGAGCAATCTTTACTGCAAGACAAAAGAATTAAAAGAAACAATTAAACAAATCTAGTGCTGAAGAAAACACTTAACATAACACTAACTTCAAGACTGCAGAGAAAGTACTTGCCTTTCTTTGTCTGTGATGTCCATTCCAAGGACAATATTTTCCTCTGTATCTTGATGGCCGCTGGTGTAGATAACGACCATGTAGCGCACTCGCTCTGACCATCCGCTTTCTAACCGTACAGCCTACAGAACAAAGGCCATAAAAGATATCCTGTTTACTCCTGGTTCCACGCAATAATTGTACAAAATAGTATATTAGTGCAATACAACCCTTAAATCTGAGATCAAACAAACAGACTGTAAAACAAAGCAAATGTATTCAAGTATTATACTGACCAGCTTTATGCGATCCTCAGACCGGAGGATCTTAAACATGACTTGCAGGTGTTGAGGTAAATCCCCTGAAAATGAAACACGCAATATCTTTTACACTTAATTTCTTCCTGACAAATTAGCCGGCTTGAGATAAACAGCACAAACACATCTCTATCCACACAAAATGTCCTGAAAGAGAAAAGGGTTGCAGTGAACAGAAACCTTATCTAAGTTAAACATAATACAACATATAGGAAACACTACACAGCAAACTCCTCTGTAGATTTTCTTTCACCAGCTGATCATTCCTCCTCTGATGTGTGATCATTTAGGTTTTCTTTCTCATGCGAAGAAAACATGTTAAGAGATTACCCTAAATAAAGACACATCTATATCCTGTGGCTTTCCAGCTGTGAGCAACACCTCACGTAGAAAACCTGCTTCATTCTCATTCTGCTTTGTCCTTAAACGACTTCAGGCTGAATGTGAACTCCACATCAGAACCTTGTGAGTAGTGAGTATCTACAAAAGAAAGCTCTTTGAAGGATGTTCAAACCCTTACATTACAATTTTTATTTTTAGATTGTGCACGATTGTTCCACATTTGAACGTCACTTTGATGTGCAGACCAACATCAGCAGCAGCCTGAGTGTGTAGTAACACTTTGCTAAATGTGCTGGAGTCAACAAAGAGAGTCGATCAGGCTGGAGCTCAGATAAGAAATAAATGTTGTACTTCAGGCAAAGTAAGTGTCAACGCATGCTCAGAGCAGGATGAAAACATCAGTGTCCTACAGGAAGGATGTTTTCTGAACCACAAATAACAAAGTGAATGTTCTTTATTTGTATGTTCTTCAGTATTCAACCCTTGATTTTGTTTCAAATAGAGCTGCATCTTGAAATCTATTACCTACATGTTTCTCAACATTTATACTTATATCTTAATTTTAAACTTCTATATAGTTATATAGTTAACATTTCCCTTGGACAGGATCCTGGATGAGTGATGCACTTGATTGTTAAATTAAAGTAGGGGAGACCTTTCTGACTTAAACATGTACAGCTAAGGTGAAATCAGCTAAGAGATAAGAGGCACTGTTTTGTCCACTGGTAGAGTCAAAATCTAACTGTTAGTTAAAGTTACTCTTCAGAGCTTTAACTGACATTATCATCCATTCTAAAAGCCTGAGGAAATTAGGTTAGCAAAATCAGTTTAGTAAATGAGATAAAGACATACTTTATTTATCCCGTGAGGGGAAATTCAATTTTAAACATACTTTCATGTAATTAATAGTTTGATTGAATCTAGTCCCAACTTCTATAATATCTTAATTTGTTATGCCTGTTTGATCTCTATTTTGGACTGTTGATGTTTTTGTTTTGTTTCAGTTATACTTAGATATTTTGCACAACACCCTTAATTTAATTTATAAAAACACTTAAAAACACAGTTAAAAACACTTTGAAACTTTTTTTTAAAGCTCTATTCAAATAAATGTATTTTTACTATCATTACTCATCAAGTGCCAAGTATTCAAATAGCTAGACAGTACAAATTACATCTGTATATTTCTTTGAAAACCTTAAAGAAAAGTCTAAAAACTTGATCTTTCTTAAAGGATTTGTGATCATCCCGGGAGTTCAGCTTAGCAAGTTCCTCTTTTGTCTGGATCTCTTCTGTGGCAGTATAGAGTCTGAGCACAATGACGAGACACAAAGCTTCTTCTGTGTGCGTTTGTTCCTACCTGCATGTTTGTGATGGGTCGTGCTCTGTGGTCCTTGTGTGCTGCCGCCCTGCTGGAGGAAGAGGGCGGCTCCTTTGACCATGAAGAAGCTCTCACTGAGGCTGGGAAAAGCAGAGTTCAAATTCATAAAGCTTACAACTGCGCAATCATTTTACCTGACACAACTCTCACCCAGACTTTCACTCCTCCACACGTCTCAAACTTCTGACCTGTTCCATATCACTAAAACATATCTGTTGTTTTATTGGCTGTAGCCTGATGAATGAAGAAAAAGGATAGGTAGGAACATAAAGCAGATGCTTAAACAGATGCTGTACATAGCCAAAAATTCACTCAAGTGTTAAAAAAAAAAAAACATTCTACAATAAAACTGCAGAAAAGAGGGCACATTTTCATTTAGAACAACTGGAAACATTGCAAAAGTTATGTTCTCTTATCCTAAAAGCAAAGCCCTACTTATCATCCTTGGCTTACCTCAATCAACAATGAACCTCTTGTTATCATTTTTTAAAAGGGACGGACAAAGTTAAAGACTAGGATGAGAAATGGCTGCAGCAAGGATGCTGTACATACAGTGTGCAGTTGTTGGCTGAGCACTTACTGAATCCTTATTGGTTCATTGAGCAGCACAGAGGACTCATCAGACTCTGAAAGTCAGCGAAGTCCTGATCCAAATGATTAACTGACTTTACATGACCTCTGGTGCATCGAGTGTTGCACACTGCAACGGTCCATATGTGATCAGGCTTTAGAACTCGCCCTCGTGTCCCACCTGTGTAGGACTCAGCACTCCTGGGTCATGACTTTGTAGCAGGAGGAGAGCTTTAGCGTCTTTTCTCTCACAGAACAGAGTGCGGCTTTGTTTCAGAGCACCACACTCCCATTCCCTGTTTAACCAACACTCACAAAGCCTGGTATGACTGAGTGGGACCACCACAAGGCCTTTTGTTAGCTTGTAAGCTCCAACTTCCATGTGATATCCTTTTTATAAATCAACATGGAAGACAGATGATTTGGAGAGAACTTGTACAAATTTTACTCTTAAAGCTTTAAGAGTTACTAATCTATCTCAAGACACGGAAATCAATCTAAGTTTTGGCCTCAGATACTGCCGTAAATACAGTCTCAGGTATTGGGCACTATTGGCAGGTATGCCGGTGAATTCACCAATCAGATACAATAACCAGTTAGCCCTCCAAAAATCAACTGGTTTCAGGTAAATATTCATACAACATGAAAAACAACAACAGTGTGCTGCTATCATAGAGTACAACTGATACGACGAGCAGCTGCAGACTATTCTAAGATTTAGGCTTGTGTGATATGGACCAAAACTCATATCGCCATATTGTTTAGCTGAATCGCAATACTCAAAATATTTATCAAAAACATTTTCCACAAAAAATGATAAAAGCAAAGTTATTTTATAATGTGTTTCATTAATAGTCTGCTGCACAATGTCAACACGTTCATGAAAAATGACATAAATATCAACAAAAATAGGTGAACTGGTGGCTCTACGAAAGACATGTGTAACATTATTTTAATGCAACATAAACTATATCGATACAAACAATATCGTCTTTCCCAATATCCTGTTTGAAAATATATCGATACATCGCCCAGCCCCACTGAGATTACTGTGAAGCCAGCAGATACCAATAAAGGACAAACCCTTCCCCTTCTTTAAATGATCATTATTTACAGTCAGACTAGCTACTGGTAAAGTGAAATTGGAGTTGGTGACAGAAAAGGATGTTTCGAGGGGGAATTTTTAGTTACACTTCCAGGAAGATTTCTCTTTAAAAACATTTATTTAAGCTTATTGGATGTTCGATAAATGCAGATGAATTTGGGATGCATTATGCCAGACTGCTTTCTGCCCCTTTTGCTTTCCGAAGGTCTGTTTTCCTATGTACATTTAATGCCAGCTGAAACACTAGAAGAACACTTTCAATACCCAAATCCTGTCCTACTTGTTCAGATGCTGCATTTCTTTTACTGAATCTATAGGCGCTCTGCTAGTGATTAGAAGACACTATAATGAAGACTTAAGCTGGAAAATGCTCAGCAATCAGTGTTCTTCAATAAAAAAGAGGTACTAAACTAAACTGCAATAGTATCAAAGCGGTACTCTGTATTGCAGAAGTGTTGTACCATCCCTTATAACAAAAAAAAACTCTCTTAGGAAAAGATACAAAATGTAAGAGTTACTGGACACTTAATTAAAATGGGACATTATGATACATTAAACGTTGAACCTTTCGTTCGTCCCTCAGTGAGAATCACATGGGTACTCGAGAACAACTGATAGACAACTCTAGGTATAGACATTGAAATCAGGAAGCTTAAGAAAAGTATACAGTATATTAAAAATGTTGAGCTTAACACAGTCCTCTTAAACTGAACACACACTGTCACATTGGTTCTCAGCTAGTCTAGCCTCAGGAGCGACAACCAACCCTGTCATGAAAAATCACTGTCCAGATTTCTGATATTTTACAACCAATCAGATTTATTCACTGAAAGTGTGCGCGCTTTGGACCCCAGGCGGTACAAACCATGAAACTGAACAAAGAAACAGAACTAAACAAACATGTTTCAAAAGCACTTCAAAAGCAAAAAATTATTTCCAGGAACACATTCACGACCCACTGAAACAGCTCTACGACCCACTTTTGGGTCCTGACCCACCAGTTGAGAAACACTCTGAAATAATCATAATTGATTCAACTTAATAAACTTTGAACTTACATACGACAGATTTCCCTCTGATCAACAAAGTGAGGCAGCACAGAAAACACGGATTTATGTGAAGGTTTCACGACCAGATGCATCCTGTGATCAGTCAGTGGACTCCTAAGAAAAAAGAAACCTCCAGTTTTGTCTCCTCTTTTTGAGATCCTTCCATCAATATTCTACACCCGTGTATTCGTGTCCAATTTTTCGGTATTGGAGCCCTTTTCAGTTTTTCATAATGGCCTCTCTCGTTATGTTGCCGGTCTGAGAGGACCGCAGCTTTCTTCTCGTCTTTGTCCTGGAACCCCTTCTTCCTCACTTCCCTGTCCTCTCTGTATCTGCTCTCAAACTCCTCTTCACAACGTGTGCTTCTAAAATCAGCTCTCCCGATGCAACACTGCCACAATACCATCATTCATTCGAGTGTTGGGAGGCGTTGGAAATGCTACTTGGCGTCAAGCTCCAGTCTGACATGCAGAATCCTAAATTAAGACTCCACGCTGATGAATTACCGAGCGACAGAAACATGTAACTCATTTAGACAATCCCGACGTGACGTGACTTTTCAACTGTGAACAACCCACTTAAACAAATGGAACACACACACACACACACAAAGAGTGAGAAAAAACACAGAGTCTGTGCCAAAGCTTTGCTGACAAAAATCATGACTTCTGTGACGTCGGGCGGATTAAAGAAAAGCTTTGTTAGCGCCCAGGAACAACAGTTGATTTATTCTCTGTTATGTAACTGAGTTAAGGGAAGCATTCAAAAAGCGTGCCACGTTAAAACAACTGTAATCCAAGCAGGTTTTTTCTCAACAACTTCAGAGTGTAAAAAAAACGTACCTACCTTATTCTGAACAAAAGCCAGATATGCCGAGATAACTAAATGTTTAGGACCGAGGACAAGACAACCAGTTTCATTTTAGAAAGTTCAGAAAGACTTTTAAAGGTAATTTGTGCTGACAATAACACATCAATCCTTTTTTGGGAAAAATAGTCAGTAAGTAGTTGTCATATCCTCGTCAAACTTGTGTTATTTTAACATTTGTTCAAATTACAAAACCATTAAATACTGAAACTGAATAATATATACAGTAATAAGCAGCCAGTTAACAAAACTAAGTGACATCTTAAAAGTACTATATTTCCTTTTCTTACTTTTGTACTATCCCTGTAAGGGTTCTAGATGGGAGCATGTGTGCAGTAGTTTATGTGTGAGTTTAAATTAATCTCACACACTACATGACCCATTCGTCTATATATTTTTAATGAATGTATATCCGCTTTCTCAAATGCCTCTCATGTTGGAAGTGTTTTTCAATCTTTAAATAACCTAGTTTATACTGCCATTGATTGATAATAACCTCACTCACTTATTGGCCACTAGGGGGGGGCACATAATTAGTTACAGCTTCAACTTCAGATATTGTTCTTCCCTTTGGACAATATTCTTAAAGCTATAGGTACAACATACAAGGTGAATACGATGTGTTGATGATTGTAACCTCACAGGGAAGAGTGTCACTACAGGGAAAATACTTTGACAGAACAACAGCTTCCTTACAACCAGGATGGCAACAAGATAAAAAAAAACAAAAAAACAGAGCTAATCAATTTTGTATAATAACTTTGGCAGATTGTTACAGAATGAATATCAAATGTATTTACCACCTTCATTTCACCTCTGAAATTCAAGTTTATTATGTAAAGCACCTTTTACAGAACAAGGTAACAAAGTTCTTCACAAAATATAAACTTACAATAATTATAAAAACAATAAATGTACCAAATAATAGAAAAACTACAACTGTATAAATTACATCAGATGTTTGCAAGCCAATATGAAAAGATGTGTCTTGAGCTCCTTTTTGTAATCATCAGAAGATTCTGCCGAGCCTAATTGCAACAGAAGAGTGTTTTTAAGTGTCTCAGTCACAAACTCAAAGGTAAGCTCACCTTTAATTTTCAGACAGACCCAAAGGGACAACAAAAAGACCCTGGTCAGAAGACCTGAAGGATCTACTGGGATCGTACTGCAACACACTCAAGCTTGCATTACCTGCCCCAAAACCCACCTGACCATTGCACTCACAACAAAGTGTTCATTTTTACTGAACTGGACAAAAGCTTCCATCCATACTTTTACCTCCAGCTTGCCAATCCAGTAAAAGTTTTTTTATACCACTTTTTATATTAGTTTCAAACTGTGTTAAGATAATACCTCTATTCACCTCCCTTAATAAATTCGAGTGCTTTTTTTCAGCTGTCCTTGTATTCATACTGTCTTGGAAAATGTGTCTGTTGGATTTCCCCCTGTTGCTACAACAAAGTCGGCTCGTTCCAGGTCGGAAAGTCCGCTGACCACAAAAAAAAAAATGAAGTGTGCAGCCAGAAATACTATACATCTATAAACCCTTTTAAAAAAAGGTGCCACAAGCAAGCTTCAAATACACAACTTATTGAGCCAAAAAGCTCTTACCTCTGATTGTTTTTCCGGTCATCATCACTCCCAAAGTCCTGAAAGACAAAAACAAAGTAGACATTATAAAAAAACTACAGAGTACTATGTTATGTTATGTAACTGCAGTTGTAGGCCTTCTGTGTCTGACCAGTGTTGAGGAAAGAAACAAAGTGTAATGTTTTTTTCGAAAATGTTCCACTTCCTCATGAATCTGTTGAACTGAAGTCCCACATAATGGGAGTGTTTTTAGTGTTTAATTTACATTTACATAGACTACTGTACTGTAGGTCATCGTGAACATGAGACATCATTACAGGGTCAAAAAAACATCTGAGTGTGTGTTTGTAAGAGCTACAGATCCAAATGGTCAGAACATGTTCAGCGTCTGACTAGACCTTCTTTGAAACATTAAAACATCCCACTGGTTCACTTTTCACTACTGAAATGCACAAAAATGATACTGAAACCCAACTTCTCATCAGAGGAGGAATGTCGCTGCTTATTTTTGTGCCAAAGCTCAGTCAGCCTTTCAGAGTGCATAATCCACCCTCCTAAAACAAGAGCGTAGCGCACTAACACTGATGTTATGATTTCACTGGGCTCTGCTCCACATTTGAATGTTTGACTTAGTTTGCAGCTAAGATTTGCAAATGGGATTTAACATCTGCTACACACAAGCCTCAATCTTCCACAACATTAGCCTACTTATTGTCGGAAAGAGAAACTGACTGATGTTGTGCAACGCTACAAAATCAGATGTAAACTCTTTTTTTTTTTTTTTTAATTCAAGACTATGAGTTGAATACCGACTAGTAAGATGTCTGAGGTCTACCTGGCAAAGACCCTACAGGCTGTCTTACATCACGTATTTTCTATCTCAGTGACATCACTTGGGGAGTGTTTTTCCTCACGTTTCTACAAGTTGATGAACGCCCTCCTCATGGGCACACACTTCACAACTGTAACAGAAGTGTAGCCTGATTCCTCATTAAAGTCTCCTCCCCAAACACGATAGGTCGGCGTTAGGCTACTGCTGATTTAAAAAAAAAGAAAAAGAAAAGAAAAAAAAGCCCACTAACAAGGAAGGACAACCTGAGTTCAACGCAGCAAATGTTAGTGCAGCAGCAAAATGAGCACTTTGTTTTAACAGCTAAACACAGCAGTCTCCCCCTCCCCCCCGCGGGGCAGGATTTTGTTTACAAATCCGCAGCCACAAACAACTCTCTGCTGGTAACAATGAAACCATAAATCAAGTTTTCAACCTACAAAGAAATGACGGGAACGAGGTTAACCCTTCACATTTTAAAAGTCTGTACTGTGACGAACTCCGGAGCATTTTTCCCGTGCCGCGTACACAAAGACACCTCCCCGGCTTTTCGACCTACCTCCCCCGCGCTGCTGTTGGTCGTGCTGGCCGAGGATGCTGCACTCGGGGTGGGGGAGCGTTGCAGAGTCACCAGGGCCATGGTCGCTGTGCTGCAGCTTTGGAGGGCAGCAGAGGAGGAGGAGGAGGAGAGGATGAGAAAGGGAAAGGAGGGGAGGAGAGGGGGGGGGGGATGTGGGAAGATGCGCGGCTGAGGTTGTCTCTGTCACCGGGGAGAAAATGCCTAGTCAGACTCTCATCCAGCAGCACCTGACTCCACAGTCCACCGGTCCACGGGGTTCCTTTTCGGTCCTAAACCGTGCGTCCTCCGCGGTTACCGAGGTCCTCATTAGCGGAGAAATTTCCCGTTTTCAGCGAGTCAGCATAGACAGCACACCCCGCGAATTCATCCCTGGTACGCAGACAGACAAACAAAACACGGTGCAGGTTGCGAGTGGGGCAGAAATGACATGCAGCTTTGCCGGACGCCTGTGATTGGCTGGCCTAGTTCGCGTGCGCGCTGTCATTGGGCCAATGTTGTCAAGGTGACTGGCCAGACTAGGAACTCCCAAATACAAATGATGAAATTATTTTCTGCTCTTGTTGTGAAACACACTGAGGACATAATGTTGATTAAGCCATTCATGATATTCATATACGATTAATCTGCTCATAATCAGTGTGGTCTGAATGCCCACAATTCTGATTAAAAAAGCCATATAAAATCTTGTTTAGTTTCAGATGATGTCACCAATGTGTTGTCAATAAAGGGCTTATGTAATGTCAATAAAATATAAACAGACAGATTGTCACATTTTAGAAATATGTCTGGGCTAGTTTTCCCATTGATACTGATTCATCATTTACTAAGCTAATTAATTAATTAAGAACAAATAAATAGAAGAGCCCAGGGTAAATTAAATAATTTTAATTAAAATAAACCAGATTAATAATAATAAAATAGTACTTTTGATACAAATTGTACAAAAATATATGCTGAGTACCCACAAGTATTTAGGCCTACATGTAGCCACAAATGGAGCTTGAACACTGGATTATTGTTTTCAAAAATAGTCCGTCCTTGATTAATCTACTGGTACACAAACCAGTCCAGGAAAAAGTTCACTTCCATTCACATTAGACATGGGAAGTAGGCCTTTCCTCAGGTATCACTCCCTGGCTGTAACGACATTGTCCACCGTTTTTCTTCACTCAAAATTGCTCAGAGGATTCAGTCGTCTGATGCATATATGGAGGTAGTCGATAAGTCATCCTATCACTCCTTATTTTAGTTCCTTCTCCTGGTGGATCTGTCCTCAGGAGTGTGTGGTACCATTTACTGTTGTGGTGTTTGTATGTCCGGTCTCTTGGTCTCTGTGTTGGACTCCTGAAGACTCCTGCCCAGTGTCTCAATAGGCAGGATCAAGGCTGTGATGCCAGCCAGCAGACAGCAGCCGCAGTACATCGACAGAGTCAAATAAACAGATTTCCTAAGCATCACCTAGAAACAAAATGTGAAAAATAAAGAGCCAGGCAGAGAGAGAAAATAACAGCCTTATCTAACTGTCAATTTCAGTGCTGACTGGTCAATGGGGAGCACTTGTGAAAAAAAGTGAAAATACATAAAGGCTTATTTGCATTTGTTAATGAGAAGGTAAATATATGATAAAAACTGCAATAAAAATTTAGATTCAAAATGTCTAGTAGTCTAAAGTTACTGATTGGCCACTTGAATATGGCCCAGGGTTCCATTGATTTTTTCATAGAGTTGTACATGAGTTTTCTCTCTTCTTCAATACAAGAGAGGGGAGCTCCTCGGGGTGCTGGAAAATTGCGCCCAAGATGTATTACACATCTCCACCCAAGAGGTGGCAAAAGAGGGACATGAATGGAGACATAAACTGTTGTCATGCAGTTATTATCATATATTTGGTCCATCTGTGAGAAATCACCACCACATGCACCAGCCGCCACTGGTTGACATTAGACTTGTAGTGACCCTGCCTTTGCAAATTAACAGCAGAGAAATGACTTCTGCATACCTGTGCCACAAAGGGAGTAATCAGGGCACCCAACCTGGCCATCGCACTGCAAGTCCCCATTGCCAGGGCTCTGTTCTCTGTAGGGAACACCTAATAAAACAGACGAGTGAGCATTTCATCTGAATCAAAACAATCCAAAACAAATACTTTCTTTTGGAAAGTTTAGTAGACATACTTCTGGTGTGTAGACAAAAGCAACTTGGTATCCTCCAGAGATGAAGGCTCTGGCAATAAAGATGAAGATTGTGAGAGCTATCCTGTAGGGACAGACAGAGAGATCAGTCTAAATGTTTGAATATGTCGCCATGTTCCAAAATAACAAAATATCACACCGAAATATACTCACCTTCCAATACAAGCATACAAGGGCAGAATACACAAAGAAAACATGAAGAAACATAGAGTCATGCTCTTCTTCCTGCCAATGCGGTCAACAACAAGGAGGATGACTAACAGCCCTGAAACAAGCATGGCGAGACATTACAACTTTACCGCCCAAGCCACTCCCTTGAACAACACACTGTGTATCTCAGGTTCCTGTTACTATTGAGGCATAACAATGAAAGCTTAAACCATCAAACCAATATGATTAAAACCGGTTTAGATAATTAAATGTCATAAACAGCTTCCAAGTTGAGAAAATTTTGAGGAAGTCGGATTGCACAACTGAGGCCCTTACATTGAAAATATTTATAGTGAGCTTTTTACCTGGGAATTCAGCCAAGGTCGTCCATAAAAGGTCCTTGTAGTCAGCTGATGTCAAAAGTTTGCATTCAAGGCTACAGCTCGGTTCAACTTTTGCCCCCTGGGTTGCTATAAAGAGTAAAGTGTAGACTTTCTATGTTCAAATTTATGATGCAAAATGACATATTCTATAAAGGATTATTTTGGAGCAGCTTTTACTTACATCCACACGAATCTCCAGCCTGGAATAGCTCCGTTGTCAACAGGACTATCCCATAATACGAGAAGGCATTTGAAAACCTTTCGATGAAGGAAAAAAAACGAATAAACACAAATAAACTAAATTGTAAAATATCTAAAATGCCTGGTGACCGAGATACCAACCAATACGTGTGACCTTAGCCCAATGTTTGGCATGCCAAATTAATTTGACTACGTAAAGATTCCTCAACAGTATATATTGTTTAACCACAGCTCATATAACAGTCTGTGATATGCACTCAGCCATGTGATCTCAAGCAAGTGACACACTCCCTTGATTAAATAAAAACCTCTTAGATAAATACATGGTTAAGGAAAGTTAATAAAAAGCACAGACTGAACTGTATATATCCAGCTTACCATATAAACCACAGAAGAAGAGTAGTCCTCCAATATTGAGGAGAAAAGAGATCTTTAATACGTCCACGGCCAATCTATGAGAAAAAGAGGAAGATCCTTATCATACATTTTAACTGAATAAATTGTGTTGAATATACATCTCCATTTCCCGGAAAGGAAAAAAAAGGATCTTTAAACCTGAGGCCTCACCTGTTTATAGTCAGTCAGCTTCCCTTTAGGCATGGCCTTTCCATTCTCTTTGGCCATGCGTGTAAAGGTTGCCATGGCCGCTTCTCTATTTCCTGTCAGCACGTCAAAACGAGGACTTTCAGGCAGCCACTGTAAAACACAAAGAGTTCAGCTGTGACTTTAATTCAGCTGCTTTGTATGTTCTCTCATAAAAACACTTACATACTGAAATACTTACAAAGCTGAAGGAAAGAAATATAACCACTGGTAACGTGGACAGGCCAAGCAGCCACCTCCAGCCAAGCGTGGGCATAATCCAAAACGCCAGAAGGACCTCGAACACAGCACCAATCGCCCAGAATGCCTGACGCATAAAAACACCAACCAATGAAAAACACCAACCAATAATTGATCTGATCAGAGCTACACCTCCTCCTTTCACACAGCAAAAGTTACCCCAATCATCATGATGCTGATGCCTCTGGCCTTCGCCGGGAGGAATTCTGAGTACATCGTCACCCTAAAAAGAGACTGATTTTTTTAGTGTTTGAATGTGTAAACTGTTATTTCTTTATCTTGTTATATAAAGAGGAAAACTCACGCCTGAGGAGCTCCTCCGATGCCAAAGCCTACCAAGCCCCGCAGGACCAAAAGCCAGCCATACACGGGAGCGAAGGCGCTCAACAGGCCATAGTACAGAGTCCAGCACATACAAGTGATCAAACCCTGCAAAACAAACGGGGAACACACAAGTTTAACATCAACAACGTACAAAGCTCTTTTGACTGTATGTGAAAAGCCAGATTTGAGACTCACAACTCTTCTGCCGTACTTGTCCGACACATTCCCCCATATAGGTGAGCTGAGCCCCGTCCCGATGAATACCACCTGAGCCAGAAAGGGTATGATTTTTATTTATTTAGTCTCTGTGAGTTTATTTGAAGTATTTCCAAATATGACTACTATTCAAGTTAGAGGATAACAATGTGACTAACAGAATAATTTGACTTGAAAAAAAGCCATGTAAATGAATTAATTGAACTTGAAGTTGAACTTACCGATGTGATGAGAGCCACCTGATAGCCGGGCAGCCCCCACTCGCAGTGCAGCTCAGGGGCCAATATACTGAGGATCATCATCTCCATGGCGTCTCCTATCTGCTCTTAGGGATGCAGAGCACTATACATGAAAAACAAACACTGCAAATAAGAGGGAAGACGTTTCTTAAAGTTGAAGGATTCTTACCCACGACAGTCCGCTGAGGAAACACATCTTCCACTGGAACTTCCCAAAGCCGATGGCCTCTAATGCATCTTCAACTGTAAACGTTTCTGTAAAAAGGGACACAACATCGACTTAAGTTCACCATCTCCTGTGAACAAAAGTTCCGAGAACTGCTCAAAAATAAAAAGGAAAAAACAAAGATAAATATGTATAAAAATAAGGATTTAAGTACAGTTTATATCTTTTCCACACTTAAGAGTTTACATTAAGGTAGAAATAGAAGACAACAAAGTAAGCAAGATATGAAATTGATGTTGAAACAATGACTTTGGGGTTTTTAGTTGGATAGAGACACAATTCTTAAAATGTTACCTTGATCAAGTGTGTTTTTTACATTTCCAACCTGCAAAGAGAGAAAATTCAAATGTGTTTAAACTACAACAATGTTCTAATAACCATCAGTTTGATCAAATCCAGATCTGGATGAAAGCTTTCTTACCCCAATGTCGAGTGCTGCAGCTATAGTGCAGATCTCATTGTCGGTGCACTGAGCTTCATCACTTTGACCCACAAAACTGGGATCAACCCTACATGTCAGCATGCAGACACAATAATACACGCTTTATCAAGCACATAAGGTTCATTTTAAAGCACTTCAGGTCAACATTTTCCATAAAATAAGCTTGTTTCAGCACGAAAATATACCCTTGCTAACTCCACAGTGTACACAAAGCAAGCAGGGGTTTTTATATGGTGTGTTCCCATTTAGCATCACAGGAAAAAGAGAAAACAGTAATCTTGTTGGTTTGTTTTTTTTACCTCTCTTCAGGGTTTCTCCACCGCTTGTAAGTGACCCTCTCCGGTCTGCCCCAGTTCTCCATTCTTCTGTGTGTAAGGTCAAGAGAGCTGTGAACCTCACCAAAGATCACAAGATCAAACCAGCGTTGTGTTGAAACCTGCCGGAGCAGTTTCTCCAGGTTTCTGTGAACCACCCAATCAGAGAACAATACCTCAGCTGAATAAAAGGGAGGGGTTAATCCAGGAAACCAAATGTTGCTCCTTCAGGTGTGAATGGACAGAAGCTTTAGGTAAACACCCAACTTTTGGCAAAGTTCCTCCATATAGTTAGTTTTGTCAAGTTAAAAGGTCCACAGGGTAAAATTGAAAATAATGAATCCACACTTGAATCCAGCTGCATCACTTCATATTGTCTAAGGTTTTGAGTGTTGGAATAGAAGTAGTGAAAACAAGATAACACTTCTGTCAAACTGTGAGTAAAGCACAACAGACAAACTACAGGTTTTCTAAATAAAATGGTATTTGATTAAATTACAAACAAAAGCAATGACGTGAGAAACATTAATCTGTATTAATGTCTCGTCCACCAATTCAAGGCTCTCAGCTTGTTTTAGTGGTTCTTACAGTAAGTCTAACAACAGGTTAGGCTGAAAAAGCACCAAAAGATGAAGCTAACAGAGAGTGAAGATTTGATTTATTTCACAGACAGAAGGGTGAGATCAGCTTCAAGCTACAGCACAATGTTGCAATAGCTCTCTGACTGCCATGTGGTGTCGCCAACAGCAGGCTGTGCTGTAGTCTTCTGTTTTCTTGATGGTTGGTTGTGTATCCGGTGAGGCTGGTTTATGTTCACCATCGCAAAAATCATATTATGTGATTATCCTTTCCAGAGCACTTTTTTTTTTTTTTTACGGCATTATCCTCCATATTTCTTTGATTATCCTCAAACAACATTTATATCCTGAAGCTGGTTTTAGTGTTTAGGCTCCAGTGAGAAAATGTCCCAAGTGAGCTCAAAGTAAATATTGCAAAAAACAAATATTTGAAATAAGATTAATAGGTTATTAAATCAGGTGTTAGTCTGTGACTTTTGAAAGCTCTCTGTCCTTTTCATCCCAGCGAATGAATAAGGCCAACCTGAAAATAAAAGTAGGACACTATGAGGACATGCTGAGGCTGCTTTATTATGAGACAGCCATAAATACAGGTGAAATACAGGGTTGAATACACATCACATCTCTCTGTCCTCACATCCTCATCAGCTGCTGGTCCAGGAACAACAGAGAACATCGGCAGAGCTTTTTAAACATGAACTCAGAGGTAAGATTTGATATCTTCAAAGCAGATTGACTAACTATAAGTATCCTTAAAGGTTGATTCTTTATTTTCACATATGAATGACAGATCCTGCTTGCAGTTATTTAGTGTCAGATTGTTTTGTGGTGCTTTAATTATAGTGTGATGTTTTCACTGGATGCTCCACTCCTGAAACAGATATCCTCACAGCTCATTTTGGCCTTGTCGTGACACGTTGACAGCAATCTGTTTGCTCACATAAATAAAGGATAAGTTAAAAGTTTCGTGGTTTGAGACCCACTGGGCCAGTGAATATTCTTTCTAAGAAGTGGTTAATCTAGAATACGTTGAGGGTCCCACCTGTCCTCAAATCTTTATATGCAAGATGGTAAAAGGTCATAGGGAGGTCTTATGGAGATGTTGAAATTTTTAGGTGTGTATTCTTGTTTGTGGCAGTTCTAACGTTACAGTGAGTGGTCAGAAGAATCAAATGTGTTTTTCTACTAAGTAGGGCTGGGAAATATATCGTATTTTTAAGATATATCAATATATTTTCAAACAAGATATAGGGTAAGACAATATCGTTAATATCGATATAGTTTATGTTGCATTAAAATAACATCATAGAGCTACCAGTTCACGTTTTTCTCATCTCACTGATGATGATGATGATGACTGACTGTCCCTCTTAACCATGCTCCTCCTCTCTCTCTTTTTTATTGTATTTAAGGAACATCTTTATTTTATGATATAATTTTTTTAAATTCACAAACAGGTAGTTTATTTTTCACAAGTTTTCACTGTTAATAAAAGACATATCGAGTATCACCATTCAGCTAAACAATATCCAAATATGAGTTTTGGTCCATATTGCCCAGCCCTACTACTAAGGTACCCTACTAACTGTATAGTAGGAGGGAGCTTGTGCATGAAACTAATGTGAAACTTGAGGAACTTGTGCATTATTCTTAGGGCTAGGTGCCTGCAAGTTTAAAAAAATACTAACTTGTGTCAGTTCTACCAAATACCTATGATACTGCAATTTGACAGTTAAAACCATTTGAAAACACTCTACATTGTTTTTGTTTAAAGAAAAACGAAGAAGAAAGAAATATATAATCTGAGTATTTTTATACACACTGATATGATAGGCATTAATACACTGGGTACTAATGTATACCAAATGCTAGGCTAATGTCTTCATGTTTCTGCTCACAATAAAAGCTATTGTAATCTTTTGTATCTCTAGCTTAGACATCAGATAGGCACATGATTGACAAAGCTGGTTTGTGCTCATTTGTTTGGCTTGGTTTTGAATTCCTGAAATACTTGCCATCCGGTTATAGCTCCTACTAGAACTTTTGGTTTGTGTCTAACTTTGGCGCCCCTTGTGGACATATGACCTCATATGACCTCTTTTTTCCAAGACCAGAAAAAAACATCCTGTCAGCTACCTGTCTAACACACAGGAGTTGATTGTATTTATAGGTATCATGCTCCGCTATTGCATTAGTATTTAGTGTATGTGTGTGTTTGTGTTTAGTCATATGTTTATGGTAGAGCAGTGGAGGGCTACTCAATGTATTGAAAGAGTGAGTAGATGCTAGGAATTCCTCAGTCATTGCATAATGGATTACATTATGTAAATTTTTCCCTGCATGCTCTCTTATGTCATAGCTTGTTTCGGCCAATCTATAGGCAAAGGAAACGTAAGACGTCTTTGTTGATGCTTACAGGAAGTACGATATTAAAAAGTAATGAGGCGGAATGAGAGGGCAACGTTACGCTGCCCGTAGGCCTGTTACAAATGAGCCTACTGAGCCACAAGAAAGCTATAAATAAAATGACCACAGTGCAATGATTCTTAGGATGTCCATGTTAAATTGGTTCAAATGTATTAGATAGATTTGGTGAATAGGGGGAACTTTGCCTTTATCTCTTCTCCTTACCAACAACTCTGCTCACTTTGAGTATTTTAAATGAAGCAAAAACGTAAGATTACTTTCTGGCAGTCATGCTGATTTGGTAACAATAACTGGAAAATAACTTTTCAATAATACAACATATAATTTGAATATTGTTTTTTATCTTTGGTTCCATCGATTGTGGTTCTACTGAGCAGTTAATTAGCTTGAAATATATCTGTCTAATCAAAGATCAGTAATCCAATACCTGTGCTGTAATTTTGTTGCAGGAGGGTGAGGACGGGTCTCTGGGAAGATAGAATTACTTCATCCTTGTATTACATATCTACACACACACACACACACACACACACACACACACACACACACACACACACACACACTCTTCTTAAACACATCTGTTCAACACTCAGGCGAAGCGCCGAATGAACATTTGCTGCCTGGGCTCCATGAATGTTTAAGCAGCCCTGTGTTTCCTGAGCCAGGTAGCTCATTACCGTCTCATTACCTACAATGTAGGGACACCAGCTCAGCAGTAAGCAGGATGGTCACGCTCCTCCTCCTTCTCCTCCTCAGACTCAGCCTCACTGTCTCTGGCCCTGGTACCAGGCCTGCTCCGAACCAGTATATGAATCTAGGACAGATGCATACCTAAGCAGCAGACGAGACAGTGCTGAAAGTAGATTATCTGTACTGACCAACAGAGGCTCCACTATGGGGGGACTCATCAGAAACTAAACCCCTATCACATGCCGTGTCTGTCCGACTACTAAACCTGAGGACTAAAAACTATTTTGGATTCATCATATCAGACTGGTTACATCATGACGCACCAGGCTTTGGAAATGAAGGAGGTAACTACATGATCATGGATTGTGTGTCTTTGCTGCAGTTGTGTTATCCTATTTAGAAGCCATTTTTTGATTTAGACTGGTTTAGACTTTCTACTACTCTGTGGCCCAAATTATTCACTTTCCAGACATGGATGATAGGTCTGCCTAGATGTCTGCTTTACGGTCTTTCTTACATTGGAGGACGATCTCAGGGGGCACTGCACTCAGAAATGCTACAACCTCTCCCATAATGTAATGGAGCAATGTTTTGATATTGATAAAATGATGACGTGTAATGTAACAGGGGTAGCTAAGTGTGAAAGGGGAATCGTTTGACTAAGGTTTCACTTTCCCTCAGCTTTTTGCAGCATTTAAGATTCTTCAGCTTGTTGTTTTGGTGTTTCAGCTTCATTGTTTTGCCTCAGCACTAATTAACCTTGATTTTGTAGCTGCAATAAAAAAGCTCAACTCGTGCCAACTGTAGCATTTAACCGCTTAATATTTCCCTCAGGACTTCTAAGACAACAACAAAGTACTCACAAAAAGAAAACATGGACTGTAAGATGGCTAAAAACAGACTCAAGATAGAACTAATGTTGTGTTGCTCAGTAAAATACTGGCTAAAGAAATAAGAAACTGTTAGCTAAAATGTTCACAACAGTGATTTTCCAGTAGCGTCAATATTTGAGTGCTAGTTATTTAACTTTTACTGACTGCAAGTGTAAAAAAAAGTTTTACACTGTACATTAGTAACACATCTTTAGTAGTTTCTTTACCATATATGCAGTACAAACATTCAGCCAAACAATACAACACATTTCTATATTCTTGTGTGAATCATTAGCAACAGAAGAGGTACTGTGCTGGACCGGTGTGTTGGTGGCCTGTGATGGTCAGGTTTCTACACGCCTGCAGCCCCTAAACGTGTGTTGCCCCGGGCGGTGTGTGGTGTCAGTCAATGGCCCATGAGGAGTGCTATCTCTTTCAGGAGCCTAACTGCCACTTTGTGGCCGCGTAACAGGATCCAGCACCATGCTGGATAGACAGGGACAATGGAGCCCCTCTCAGGTGATGGTCAGATAGACTTTCCTGTTCCGCTAACATCAAATTTGATGTTTATGGCAGTTTTTCATTTGGGATTTGTTGGAGTTACCTTACACCTGACTGTTTATCTATGTTGACATATTTGCTTAAAAACCCTAAACATCCTTTCAACTATCAGATCTACAAAGGCAAACAAGACCATCAGGACAAGATCAATTATTTTTCTGTGGTTATTTATAATTGCTGAAACTGCTACAGAGGGGTGGGTGTCAGTCGAAACAATTTCCAGCAACCTGAAGAAACAGACCTTTTTTTTTTTCGCATTTTTCACTGCAAACATTTACAATGACAGCAAAATTCGATTATTTTTGGTCAGAAGACACGACCACATAAAAAGTTCAGCAAAGATATTAGACAAACTGTTTTGTCCAGAGGGGGCAGCAAAATCAACACAAACTAAAATTTTCTTTAAAGGACACTCTGTCCTGCATCATGCAATGCAAGGCCTCCAGTCTTCTCAAACAGTTACTAACACCTGTTTTTTTAGTTTAGTGTGTTTTGTTTTTGATGAAGACATGAAAAGCTTTTTCCACAAAGGCCATTGATCAAGTAACAAATGCCACACTTTATAAAAATGACCATACAGACATTGTGAAAGTTTGGAACCACTTCTGTCATGAAATTACAAAAAACAGCTGTTTTTTACTGCTATATTATTGAGGTTGCTGTCTTCGGCCAGCCCCTAAGGTAAATCTTAAGCATCTAAATACATGTTTAAAAAGGCTCAGTATTGTTTTAATATATTTATGCTATCAATAAAAGTCTGAAGGAAAAGCTTTTGCGTGTGTAATACTGATGGAAACACAATATTAAAGAGGCGGTAAAAACAGCTGTGCTTTAAATAATATTCAAGCATTAAAAATGTATATTGTACAGAGTAATGATGATGAGCAACATTGCAGTATTGTTCTTTAGACGTTCGCATTAAGTTGGTTTTAGATAAAATTCGTTGGTGAGAAATATATTGCATAGCATCTGGTCGTGAACCTTATATATTTTTTTAAAACAGGGATTGTTGTGTAAATTTGAATTAATGTTAAAAAAGAGTAAGAGAAAACACAGTCAGGCAAGCAGCTGGGTGTGGTCAGTGAACAACACTAACTTATCCCTCTCACCCTCTTCACAATTACATATTTAGACAAAGATTTGCTTCCTTTGCTGCAAACTCGCTACATTATTGATGGTTTCCTATTGAAGGAAGTACAGAATGTAATCTATCAGTGTTTCCTGTCGTACTGCTGTCATTTCCCCTTCAATAAAACCAGATGTTCAGTCCAGAAAAGTTACAGAGACACACACACATCAGGCACCTTCAGGGTAAGTAACTTTCAGCACTTTTTTCCTGCAAAACTCCATTGAACATTTTGATGATTTTGGGAGATGAGTTTTTTACATTTTGTTGTAAATGCCAGCTGGGTCAGTAGAACAGCAGCTCGTTTTCCTGGAGCGTGATCCGTGAGTGTCGGTTACCCCGATGTGGTGACTGACGGGTCAACTTGGCAGTGATGAGAGCCAAACTGATGAAGCATAGTAGTGCCTGGCTCTTTCATGGCACCGTAATTAAAGTGCATTGTGTTTGCGGATTATTTCATCTGGCGCTTCCTCAGTCGTAGCAGCAGACCATATCCTGCGTTTATACATAATATAAGGCTTGTAATTGATTCTCCTTTCCATCCCTTAATTAAAACCTAGGCTCAGTTATTGATTAATCTTGTATTAAATAAGAATGCATGAAGCGTCAAGTGTAGGTGGAGTCTTTTGTGTTCGTTCTGCCTCGCGATGAACAAGACTGATGGCTCTTTACAGAACACAGAAGCGGATTAGATATCAGCAGCTCAATTTAGATTTATCATGAGCATTGAGGATGCAGCCAAGGCCACTTATGGCTCAGACTGGAGGTCACAGATTTAGAGACAAAACAGGCAGGATGTGAGGGAAATAAATATCCCAAGTTGTACATGACTGTCAATAGTGGGTGTATGTGTTCTTGAATGGTGGCATACAGATAACTTTTGAGGAAAACAGGACACATTGGAAAAAGGCAGGAAATACACACAACGAAAGAAGGAATAGGAACTTGGGAAATAATGTGATATCTGTAGATAAATTCAAGTTCAAACATCAGTGTTTATATATAGTCTCTCATGTTAACTAGTTCTGCTGTGATTTGCTTCTGTTACAGAGCCTTGACGAGCGCTGCAGCAAGATCCTGAGGAACATGGAGGCCTCCCTGACAGCTCGGGATCGCGTGGGTATCCAGGATTTTGTTCTCCTCGACGCCTACACAAGTGAGAGTGCCTTCCTGGACAACCTGAGGAAACGCTTCCACGAGAATCTCATTTACGTGAGTCTTCCTGCGTGACATAATATCTGACAACCTAGCTCTTTCTCTTACTCTGATTAAACGGCATGCCCTAGAACGTTTGACCCCAAAAGGTCCCAATGCAGCGTTGACTCCTGCTGAATCTGACTTCGTGTGTTGCTGAAACAGCATCTCTTGTTCTTTCCATTTGCAGACTGAGCAATCTAAAGGTCGTCAATGTCTGTGAGGTCGCGAAAAGCGATTATCCAAACTTATTGTGTTTGATAAGAGGAACAAAATAGCAAATCAGCACAGTGATACATGGACAACTCTTTTTGTGATATAATGTCTTAGAAAATCTCCTGTATCATCAAATGTGAAGGGGTTGCAGATCATTATTTCCTTTCTTGTTTCTCTGCAGACCTACATCGGGACTCTGTTGGTGTCGGTCAACCCGTATAAAGAATTAGATATCTACAGCAAGAAGCAGATGGACACCTACATGGGTGTAAACTTCTTTGAGCTACCACCTCATATGTAAGATGTTTTATTTATTTTGTACTGATTATACTTTTGCATGGCACACAGTTAGCATTAAGAGTTGGGTCCTTCTTTTCTAGATAAATCATCTCTTTTAGACCGTCATCACTTCAGACTGAAATAACTACAACAATTAGAGGGATTGTTATTAGATTTCTGCAGATATTCATGGTTTCCAATGAATGAATCCTACTAACCCGTCTATCTCCTGACTCTTGCTGTATCCCCAACATGAGGTTTATTAATTTCAGTTTATTCTATGTGAAATATTTTCACCAGAACTGGATAGACTTCCATCAAATCTGCAATGCACATTTATGCAACCCTTTAGGTTGAATTGCAACAAATTTCACCCTTCCTCTTGTGCTATAATATCTCCAAAACTTTAGTTGTAAAGCAAAACCTGGCAAACAAAGGGCATTCATACTTCATAGAGTGCTAGTTTTGTGACTTAGAAGTGACACTGTACCCATTTTTCTTGCTTAAAATTCGGATTGCCATTGTGAGTGTGTAAGCAGTTTGGCATAAGCATTCTGGTAGAGACTTAATGCTTTTAATTTTATCATTGAATCATAACACCAGAGGCCAAAAAGACAGGATTACAATATGACATGTGAGTTTATAGATTATAGATGCAGGGTATCATGGTATCATGTATATGTTAAGGAGCCAACCATGACCTGTAACATTTGTATTCGACCGTGGGACCATTTTTTCAGGTCATGTATCCTCCCTCTTTCTTTCTTCATTTTACTTAGAGGTAGCGCTTGAAAAAGAGGTAGAAAAGTTTACTTTAGTGTTCTGATGGCAAAAAGAAGTCAGGATTTTCTAAAAGGGCTGACTGAACATATTACTGTCCTTTTAGATATGCTCTGGCAGACAACGTCTTCCGCACGATGCTGTCTGAGTTCAACAACCACTTCATCCTGATCTCAGGGGAGAGCGGGGCCGGCAAGACCGAGGCCTCCAAGAAAATCCTCCAATTCTACGCCGTCAGCTGTCCAAGTACCAAACTTCTAAACAACGTCCGGGACAGACTTCTTCTGTCCAACCCAGTGCTCGAGGTCAGTGACATGGATGCTTCTGACGTGAAATACTTTTTTTCAGTGGAAAATATCATAACTATACACATATTTATATCTTGCAGGCTTTTGGAAATGCCAAAACCTGAAGAATGACAACTCAAGTCGCTTTGGGAAATACATGGACATCCAGTTTGACCATCAGGTGGAGTAAATAAACTTAATTAAATGAAATTACAATTTCAAGATAATAGAGCCAGGGTTTAAAGTTTACCTTTCCCCTGCAGGGTGGTGCAGTTGGGGGGCACATCCTGAGCTATCTCCTGGAGAAGTCCCGTGTGGTGCATCAGAATCACGGAGAGAGAAACTTCCACATCTTCTATCAGATGGTGGAGGGGGGAGAGGAAGATCTGCTTCGCTGGCTTGGTCTGGAGAGGAACTGCAAGAACTACAGTTATCTAGTGCAGGTCTGCGGACCCCCCCCCACACACACACACACACAAAAAACAAAACGTCATTTATCTGGTTTAACAACAATCTCAGACATTGTTTTGTTTCCTGCAGGGTGGTTGCCCCAAAGTGAGCTCTATCAATGATAAAAGTGACTGGAAGACGGTGCGGAAAGCCCTCTCCGTCATAGAGTTCAGTGAGACTGATATTGAGGTGAGGCTGTACAGTGAAACTTGACACATTAAAACTATCTGAAGCTATGTATGAACAGTTAGGCCTGTCTTACATGAAGTCTTTATTTCTGTGTATACAGAACCTCTTTGGAATAATTGCTAGTGTGCTCCACCTGGGTAATATCAAGTTTGCGGCAGATGATCGAGGATATGCTTCTCTCAACAACAACCAGGAGATGCACTGGGTGTCAAAAGTGAGACTGAAACAAACTGTTGATAATTTAAACATTTTATCATCGCTGTGTGACTCTCTGATTGGGCAAGGAAAACATTTTGGTGTTACACTTTCTTTTTTTTCCCGCTTTTGTTGTGCAGTTATTAGGGATTCCTGCTCAGGTGCTACAACATGGTTTAACCCACAGGAAGATTGAAGCCAAATCAGAGGAGGTGACTTTTTTTTGTTTGATTTAAAGTAGAAAGTATTGTCAAATGGTTTGTGTTTAATAGTTACTATTCTTATGTTAAAGGTGTTTAGTCCCTTCTCTGTGGACCATGCAGTATATGCCAGGGATGCACTTGCCAAAGCCATCTATGGTCGCACTTTCAACTGGCTGGTCAACAAGATCAATGAATCTTTAGCTAACATGGTGAGATGAAAGCTACTCTGTCTCATTACAGTCAAAGAAAATAGGAATACAATTGGGAAAACAAGATTTTAGTACGCCTGAGGCTGCTGTAGGACTATTTGTGAGACTGGAAACATCAAATTATAATACCAGATTTGTTTTTGGCTGAGTTTCTCCTCATTGTTTTTTTATAAACACCAACTCATGAGCTGAAGTTTAATCAAAGAGTTCTGATAAAGGTAAAGGGTAAAGACAAGAAAATAATTTCAATGTATCTTATCCGTAGGATTCCTCTCGGAAAACAGTGATTGGTCTGCTGGACATCTATGGGTTTGAAGTCTTCAGTGTGAACAGGTGAGATCATTCACACAAGAGCTTATTCTCCAACAGCAAAACTATTAAATCAAGATTGTGAAGCTAACAGCGCCAATTATTTATTTTAGCTTTGAGCAGTTTTGTATCAACTACTGCAACGAAAAGCTGCAGCAGCTTTTCATCCAGCTGACCCTGAAGTCAGAACAGGAGGAGTACGAAATGGAAGGAATTGAGGTAAAGAAGCTTTTATCAGATTCTTTTTGCTTAATTCTTTGTGTTTCACAGTGTTACTAATGTGTTACACTCCTCACAGTGGGAACCAGTGCCATACTTCAACAACAAGATAATCTGTGATCTTGTGGAGGAGAAACACAGAGGAATCATCTCTTTGTTGGTAAAGAGAATCTATAAAAGACAATAAACTCTCGTACAAAACCAAAGAGGGGTTCAGTTATTGATGCTTTTCCTCTGGCACAGGATGAGGAATGTTTACGTCCTGGTGAAGCCACAGACCTCACCCTTCTGGAGAAGATGGAGGATAAGATTGGCGGTCACCCTCATTTTGTAACGTGAGCATTACAGTTTTGCTCGACAGAAAATGCATTTTATTTACACAAGCTAATGAACACTGGCAACAACTTAAGCGGCATAACACATAATACCAGTAATCCTAAAACGCTCCCTCCTGCAGACATAAGCTTGCAGACCAAAAGACGAGGAAAACGCTGGAGAGAGGAGACTTCCGTCTCTTGCACTACGCTGGAGAAGTTACATACTGTGTTGTTGGTAAGAGATCAAATTGATATATGATGAAAAATTTTTCTTTTATGATTCCCTTAACTAACCATATAGAGTGGCTGCAGTACTGCGATTAAGTATAACAGTAGAGGAAGTAGCGGAAAGCAAATAAAGTCAAATAAATAAATAAGAGATTACATAGGGATCATTTTATGGTTTGCTAGCATTACCAAATGGAGCCTGTATCACTAAAAAAATCCCACACATTTTGACTCACCTCCATTCTCAGCTCATAATAAATGCTCAAAGGAAAATCCAGAACTTTGGAAAAGTATTATACTGTTAATTTTTTAAAAGTCATACAAGAAAACTAAACTGTAGCCTATCAATATTTCTACTAATAGCATCTTTGCTAAGCTCTTTCATAAGCACTGCATGCTCTGTCACAGCTACCTGACTAATATACTGAACTAAGCGACTGTATTACTTTTAAGAAGAATAGAAAGTTGTATTATATAAAGACAGCATATCTTCCCATTTTTTAAAAGTTTCTCTCTTTTAACTTTTAGGGTTCTTGGACAAAAACAATGATCTCTTGTATCGGAATGGGAAAGAGGTAACTTTGTTTCTCGGTGACTCCTTGAGAATGAATGCATATGAATTTGATTCATTCATTGTATAAACAAAATACTTAAAACATATACTTCACTGCTACAAACACAAAAAAATAAAAATAAAAGCATGGTAAAAAGAGCCAAAATAGAGCAAAAACTCTTGCATTACATAATTATACCTTAATCTGAATAGTTCTTCTGTTCTCCTTCAGGTCATGCGTCAGTCCAAGAACACTGTTATCAAACACTGTTTCCTTCTACTGAACCTGACAGCAAGAGGAGGCCTGAAACTGTAAGAAATTATTCAGAAGACAACATCCAGTGACCCACTGATTACATGTCTTCTTTTAACTGCCCTTCTCCCGTGACTCCTCAGGTGGTGACTCAGTTTAAAAGCAGCCTGGTGGGCTTG